GATAACAGTTTTATGAGCCCCTAATAAAATGTTAAAAAAAAATTGGATTTGCAGAATCACAGTGACTGTGTACAAGAGAGGGAAACAGTACCAGGTCCTGCATCATCCTCATAATAATTCTTATGTCCGAGCTGATTGTTGCAGCCACTCTGTCAAATCATCCCAGTGAACGATGTCTTTTTTTCCCCCTCACTCTTTAATTTACCAAGCACAGTGCCCTTCTCTGGAGCCTGGTCACTTCTGAGAATGTGTCCACAACACATAAGACAAAGTCTTAACATCCTCGTTGTTTGGGAGTATTCTGGCTGTATTACTTCTCACAGATTTGCTGGTTCTTCTTGAGGTCCATTGTATATTAAATATTCTTCATCAATATCATAATTCATAGGCATCAATTCTTCTGTTTTACTTCTTCGTTGACCAGGTATTGAATATGAGGTGTTTGAAATAGCATGCCTTGAGTTAGATACACCTTAATCTTCAAAGTGAAATCTTTGCTTTTGAAGACTTTAAAGTGAACTTTTGCAGCAGATGTCCCCGTTGCAGTTTGTCATTTGATTTCCTGATTGCTGTTTCCGTGGGTGTTGATTGTGGATCCAAGTAAAGTAAAATCCCCGACATCTTCCTTATTTATCATTTTGCTGCCTATTTGATCCAGTTGTGAGGACTTTTATGTTAAGGTGTAATCTATAGTGAAGGTTGTATTCTTTGATCTTCAATAGAAAATTCTTTGTCTTCACTTCATGCAAGCAAGATTATGTCTTTGGCATATTTCAGCTTGTTACTAAGCTTTCCTCCAATCCTAATGTCATATTCTTCTTCACATAATCCAGGTTCTCACATTATTTGCTTAGCTCAGGTTAAGTAAATACATTGAAAGGAATAAATCCAAAAATACACCTTCCCTGATCTGAAAACACTCAATCTCCTTTGTTCTGTTCCAATAACTGCCTCTTGGTGTATGTACAGGTCCCCCATGAACTCATGTTTTGCAATGTTACACACAGTTTGTTAGGATCCACACAGTTGAATACTTTTGCATAGTCAATAAAGCAAAGGTAAAATTTTTTCTTGCATTCTCAGTTTTCAGTCAAAATACATCTGATATAATAAATTGCAGTCTTTGATCCATATCTTCCTTGGAGTTTGGCTTGAACTTCTGGCAATTTCCTATTGATGTATTGAAGCAACTATTTTTTAATTATCTTCAGCAAAATTTCACTTTGATGTATTAATTCTATTGTTAGATAGTTTCCTCATTCTGTTGGATCGTCTTTCTTTGGAATGAATATTAATATGGATCTCTTTCAGTCAGTTTGTCTTTCAAATTTCTTGTCATACACTGGTGAACACCTCCAGCACTTCATTTGTTTCCTGAACCATTTTTATTTGTGTCTTATGAACTCCTGGAGCATTGATTTTTGTTTTGTGTTTGCTAATTGTCTTCAGTGTAGTTAATTCTTCTTTCTTCAATACCATTGGTTCTTAATCATATGGTGTCTCCTGAAATGATTGAACATTGAGCTTTAGTTTTATTTTTCAGTGACTCTGTACTACTTCCATCTTCTTGTGATGCTTCCTGTGCCATTCAATCTTTTGCTTATAGAATCCTTTAGTATTGCAAGTCAAGTTTGGAATTTTTCCTTTAGTTGCTTCATCTTTAGAAATGCTGACCATGTTCTTCCCTTTTCGTTTTCTAACTCCAGGCATCACACAGGCATTGCCGAGGGGCCTGCCCCAGCGGATATAAACTCCCAGAAACATTTGAACTTGAGAAACTCCAGTAGTCCAAAAATAGTTTTCTGAAGGAGAATGTAGTTACTCCACAATCCAAAACCTAGGAGATGGAAGTGCAGCACGGGTAAACTGGATCCAAAGTCATCTGTATCCAAGAGCATCTGCAGCATTAGCTGGAATGCTGAGTTTTGGCTTGTTTGTTGTCTTTTTATTCTTAAATCACTGTTAAAACAAAAGTATCATTTTCCATTCTGTGAAAGTAATGATTATGATAGTGCCCCTTGTTAAATTGTTATTTAGTGTAGATATTTGTTAGGTAAACATTGTTTGTCAATCAACAGAACCTTGATTGATCACTGTTTAGCCTAAAACACAATAAGTAGAAGTAGTGATTAGTGCTGTCAAAGAATTTTCAATTTCATTTTATGAAGGAAACACATGAAACCAAGAAAAAAAAGTTTCATATACAACTGTGAAAGTTAGTACTGAACATAATAATCTGTTGCATATGCTTAGGATTTATAGGAATGAGTTATAAGGGTTGGTTATGGAATGTAATCTTCAGCATGTGCATTTTACTTAAAGTTTTAATAAATGTAAAGTCAACACTGAAAGAGATCCCCATGGAAAAATATCATATGCAGAGATGAACTGGAAATAATTCAATTATAGGTGACATTTCTTTAAAGTCTTTGGCAGCTCATTGTATTTCAGGTTTGACTTGGTCCATATTTGAAGTAATCGGGATTAAAAATGGGATTTCTACATTTCACTTTTGCCAAAGTCAAATCCACTGCGGTCAACTTGATTCTGACTCATGGCAACTTTATAGGCAGATTAGCACTACCTCATAAGGTTTGCAAACTTATAAATCTTTATGGAAGCAGGCTGCCACATCTTTCTCTTGTGGAGTGAATAGTGGGTTCACACTACCGACTGTTTGGCTTACAGACCAGTGCTTTAACTTCCGTACCAAGGATAAGCCTACATTGGTTGGTGACCACAAAAAAGATGGAAATAATAATATGGAAGATGACTAATTCATGAATAAAACTACCTTGATATAATACAAGACTGAAATAATACAGCACTTCTGTGTTGTAAAAAATTAGTTATGCAAGAACAGAGTTATCACAGAGTTGAGGCCCAATATAATCTGTAAGAGTTTTTGTGAATGGAAAAACATAATGATGCAATCTTAACTGTGGTTTCTTAGGACTCCTTGGATGGTGGAGACGCTTAAGAAGGCTATTTACTAACTAAAAGCTTGACTGTTTGTCTACCTAGAGTTGCTTAGGAAGGCCTGACATGTACTTGCAAAAATCAGTCATTGAAAAACGTTAGAGAGAAAATGGTAGAGGACATTTCTATCCTGGCACACAAGGAAAAGCCACTTGCTTGCAACCATTTGTTGTTGCTATTTTTGTATAGTATTGCCTTTAGATAAAGTATACAAGTTATGGAAGCTAATAGTACTCACTACTAATTGAAGAACTTTTTCAGCATTGCTATCTGTTCTCAGACATATGTAATAAAGGAAAAATAGAAAACAAGAGGTTATCTAAAAACGTTAGATCAATATATGAAAAATTTGCAGATTGCATAGTCAAAAGAGCTCTGCATGTTCTAAATGTTTGGGATCTGAAGAATAGGTATTTGAGAAAATATGACTTTAAATATTATGGCTCTAATTGTAGATTTATTTTTGGTGATGCTCTGATCAGATCTTAAGTTAAAGCTCCCAAATATTGATTGGGCCACCCAAGACTAGATACCATTGGTCTTGGAGTCTATAGAAAAGGAATATAAGTAAATTTCCTCTGAGGTACCGTCAGAAGTAATTGCATGGATATGTTTTTGTGACTTGGCCTGGGTCTGTGTTGATGAAATTACACAATTACAAGCTGTGTTCTAGAGCAAATGGAAATAACATTAAAAAACAACAACATTCAAATAGATATAGTTGATGGTTACAAATATGTTTTAAAGAATAAACAATGAAAAATTAACCCATATCCTAATGTTTAAGTTTATTGATTAAAAAGTTCATTATCTGATAAACTTTTAAAATGTCATATATACTGTATCTGGAAATTTTATTTTATTTACATGAGGTATTTGCCCTTTTAGGTTTTCTCTACCAGTAACTGCAACAGCGGATAATTGCATTCTTACTACTTATCCATATATGGCATATCATCTTGATAGCCAAAAAATTATTATAAAGAGTGGTAAGTTATGTTTGAATCTTCTCTAACTCTCACAGTATACAGTATTGTTCTCTAAGAGTAACATCTAAAAATAAAGTATTTAAAGTTGAATAAATGTATGTGTATGAAACATCTATAAGTGCTAAGAGCTGTGCTTATCGTTGAGAGTAGAATATGAAAATATCTCAATTACAGAAGTAGACAATTTAGTGAGACTCAAAAACTTAATTAATACCAAGAAGATTGATTTAGGTTTCCTTCTCGCCTCTCTGATGAGTCATTTTGAGGAAGCTTCATAAGGTCTACTGCCTCTTCTACATGTCATATTATTTATTTTTTATAGTGGTTCTCCATAACTCTTATTTTCTTATCTCTTCCATTACTTTAATTACAATCCTTGGATTTTATCTCTAGTTCTGTTTCTGCTCCAGAGAATCAGGACTGCATATCCATCTACCTCCTGGACAACTTTGCTGGGAATCCCCTGGACACACACAAAAAAATATGATCCAAACTGAACTCCTTTACTGAAATATCCTTCTCCTATGTGCTAATTTTTATGATAGATGCACCTATCATCTAACTTTCTCTCGATAGCCAATCTAGAAACCTTAACACATTCCTTGACTGTCTTTTCGCTCACACTATACTTCTAGTCCACCAATGCCTGTCCTCTTGTCTCTTAAATATCTCTCAGATTTCTCCACTTCTCTCACTTTTTCTGGTCACTTTCCGCACTCAGGCTGCCATACCATCTTTCCAGGATTAATCCAAAGATTTCTAAACTGTCTTCTGCCTCTTACTGGGTTCCCTCCTTTCCCAATCTATCCTTAATCCACTTCAGTCAGAAGGATTTTTCTAAATAAAAAATACAATATTTTCATTCCAAGGCATAAAATATGAGGGGACATTCAAATGTTTGTGGAAAATTATAATTAAAAGATAATTATATTTATCCACAAATTCTTTGAAGTTTCCTAATATGTTCATGAAATCTCATTGCTACTAAAAATGAAGCCTATATATCCCACATGACATCACCCAGCCAAGGGTTTCATTTTTCCTTTATTCTCACCTTGCCCTCTATGCCAAGCCACAACTAATTTCTTTGAGCTCTTTCAGACTTTTGAATCTTACTAATTATCCTACTTTTGACTGGGTAGTCCACTTCTCTACTCATCTTACAGGAGATTCTTGCTCCTCTGTGCAGAGATTCTGTGTTCCTTCAACATAGTCTCATAGCACTGTGCAAATCCACTTTCATGGCCTTTACCACAGTGAAATGTAATCTGCCTATTATCTGTATTTTATTTTAGTTGCTGATATTGTCCAGGCTTGTAAAAGCAGGAGTTATACAAGTGTCACACCTTTTCATACAAGTGTCTGTAATACCTAACACAATAAATGTACTTAATGAATATAGAATAGATTGCCAGAATTTTGAGCCAATTAGGAGGGCATCTCTTAGCAATATATGCTCATTACCTGGACATCTATCATAAAGAAATTTATAGAACAATTCTCTTGACAGTATGTGATACATATATGAAGGATAAATATATGAGGGACCTTCAAAAGGTTCATGAAAAAATGGAATTAAAAGAAAATGGAACTTTCTCACAATTTTTGAAGCAACCTCATTATTGGTACTATTGTTATAACAATAATTATTATTGCTTTATTTATGTATTACCATTTTTCATAATATGCTTCAAGAAAATAATGAGAAATTTCAGTCCAATAAAATATTCTTGTCATTTGTAATGAAAAATTAGTAAAGTCTTTGCTTTTACATGATTTTTTGAGCAAGAAATCAGTTAAAAATAATGCATCTATTTGGAGAAATACTTTAAAGAAAGCCACCGTGAATATAAAATATTCTGACACATTTAGAAATCAGTTTAATATATATTTAGTGCTTTCCAGATGTAGAGTGTTCCACTAAATGCCTTACATCATTATTTCATTTAGTCTACCCATCAAATGAGCTATATAAACCTACTGTATAGTTTAAGAAACTGAGCCACATCATTTGAGCTTCTGACTCCGGAAACCCGAGCCAAGATTATAAAGGTTCAAAGCCTACACCCTTAGCCACTGTGCTCCGGAGTATGATGTGCTCATTAAAAGTGAAATTATAATTTATATTAAGTAGTAACCACCATAGGGTACTATAGTTAATAAGATATGGTTCAGATGCTAAATAAACAAACTTACATGTGCCATTGACTTCCACTTAAAGGTGTATATTTTAAGCCTACTAGACACTGTTTCTCATTTGACAATAAATTAAAAGCAAATTGCCTAAAGCATCTATGTTGAATCATTCTTTGATTGAATTCCCTATAGTCCACTTCTATGAGGTCTATAGTAGCCCTAGTATTCTAGGGATTTGAACAACCTACTGGACTAAGATTCTCTTGCCAATTCTGAATGGCTTTGTACTGAAAGAGTAGAATTTTCATGTATTCCAGCTAATTTATATGTGTTATTTCTTTTTAGTTAATCTTTACAATAAATTCAAGGGCCTAAAACTGGCTTCATTTAATGAATGAAAAAATAAGTTACAGATAACGTATATAACTCCCTGAAGCTTTAATTGCTGAGAAGTAATGATGTCAAGCTTTCAAATCAGAGGGTTTTTTTCTAATTTCACAGAGGCCATGAACATATTTATGAATAGTTTTCTTTTGATAACCAGTCTTTGGTCACATCTGGCTTTTCTTGGTCAGCACTGCCTTTGGTTGGGTTTGGATTCGTTCCCACTGTGGCAAACTCTAGTGTATATTCAACAAATTTAACAATACGAGAGATTAACAGCTTTTCAAAGTGACATTAGTTCATAACCAAACAGTGGTTTCATATCAGAAGATTAATTGGAAATAAATTAATTTTGTGACTCCTTTTTTGTATTTTATTTTATTTTAAAAGCTACGTATGTGTCACTGTGAGTTGACATCAACTCGATAGCAGTATAAGAGTAATAAAGTAATTCCAAATGTTTTATCTATTTTTGATTAGGAAAAATTTGAATATTGCTCATTTTTCAATTATTTCAATATGTTTCAGCCATCTCATTAAATAAAATTCAATTAAGAAAGCCATATGTCATTGTTTTTCTTATTAAGATCTCTGAATTTATAATGGCCATTTAGGCTCTTTAAATTTTACCTTTGCAACTCGGATATATATTTAAAAAGCTATATTCAGAATAAAGACTATGATAATTCCTGACTTACTATAATGTATTTTTTGTAGATAAGGAAGGGCTATTTATGAAGAGTAGAAGCAATATTCGATTACCTTCTGCATCAAGTAAAGTTACTAGTAAAGTAAATGATTCTGAGCCTACAAGGAGAAAATTCTTTATTGGTAGGTGGCAAATATATAATAAACTTTCCACACCCACTCCATAATCTAGTCTGTTGAATATCATTTATTTTTAAAATGTTGATTTTTACCAGTAACAAAAACCTCATAAAGAAGACCATGAATTTGTCATTTGTCTTAAGTGGGTCATCTTGGGGAACCCTCTTCAGTAACCTAGCACAGAGGTTCTCTGATGTTCCCAGTCCATGGTTCTGTTCGGGTCCTTGTAACTTCACAACAGGACAAAGGAAGTAACATAAATCAATGTGTTGAGTACATGGTTCCATCCAAAAACTGTAATTGTAGTAGTTCACGTGGAGCAGTGGCGTTTATCTTCAATGCTAAGTACCCTGTCAGGGTCCTTTAAATTTAATCTGACTGAAGGGCTTCTCTGTAAGGAGTCCTGGGGGCATAGTGGTCTGCAGTTTAAAACCACCATGACTGAGGGAGAAAGAAAGCGTTTTCCATTCCTGTCGATAGTTAAAGTTTCTGAAACGCACATGGGACAGTTCTGCCCTGCTTTATAGGGCCGCTGTGAGTTGGCGCTAACTTGATCGCAGTACGTTTTGAGATTTTCAAAGAGCCTCTGTAGGCATTTTGTGCAGCACAGAGCTAGGGGTTTTAACTAGATTCCAAAGTATCTCTTTTAGAAAGAGGGAAGAGAGATAAATATCAGTTTATATTTTCAAGGACTGTTCAAAAAACTATTTTTCAGAATATAAGTAATTTTGACATTTTTTCCCTTGTTATTGAATGGACCAAAATCACTGTTGTGAACTTTTCAGTGAGTTTGTACTTGTTGCATTAAATACGCAGTTCTTTTTGAGGAAAGAAAAAGTGTTGAAATTAATTTCATTAACTCCTCATTGCTTTGTGTTTTTCTTGATGTTCTTTGTGTTTTATTGGGATTACTTCTTATGACTAGTAAATCACTTTAAATCTGAAGCCAATGTTAAATTTTATATGATTTTAATTGAAGTTTAATACCGGGGAGCTTCAAGATATTTGCATATGTAATTTTGAATGAAATGCTCCATGTTGTGCAGCGTTTTCAAATACTTTTTGGAAAAGAGAAATGTAACTATTTTTAATGAACTTTATCTCTTTTAAAAGCATTTCTCTTGGACATTTGAAAATAAAGATGAATTTCTTCATTTATTTCATTAAATTGATTCAGAGTTAATTCTTTTAGATCATAGAATAATTAATACAAGGGGATTTCTTTGTCTACATATAATGGCAATAGTTGATAGAATATTTTACTATGTAGTCAAGTAAATGACCTTTACCAAAAAAATTGAATTTTAGGAATGGAAGTATCGTATGAACATTTGAAATTTGACAAAATTCAAACATTAAGAAGAAGAGATGATGGGACTGTAATTAAGGAGAAGAGAACCAAACAATTCTTTTTTCCTGAAGAAGGATCAAAAGCATTTAAGTTCTTCCAAAGCGTTGTGAATGCCACTGAGATCTGGTTCAGTCTCTTCGGATGGGCTCATGGGCCTCATACCCTTTCTATACCAGAAACTTTAAGAAGGTGATGGTTACTATCCTCCCCACATTCCTTGTTTTATATCATAAAACCTATTTACTTGTGATCATTGTAACCAAAATTCAATATTAAATATTTTATTCTAAGCTAATAATTTATGGAAGATACAAATATTTTTTAGTATGCAGCTATTTTTTTCTTCAAATTTCTGATATTTTTGGAGGAGCACTATACATTTCTGGTCTCGTCTATGAAATGAGAAGGAGTAAAATATTGAAATATTTGGCAACAAAATTGTTACATGAGTAAAATATCAGTCCTATATTCAAATAGACCATGCCATCAGGGAACAGGGAGGACTCATTTTATTTTGTCACTAAAACCTCCTTCCTTGTACATTTATCCTACTTTTTTCTCGTGCAATTGCATTGGTTATATCCAATCAGTTAGTTCTGTTGTTAATTTAAATAAGAATGTTTGCCCCTTTCTGGTTCACCTGCTCCACAAGCAAAAAGTCCTAGTAATCAGTTCACTTAAAGATTGCAGTCTAGGATTACCCTGTGAAGCAGTTCTACTCTGTGTCATTGGGTCAGTATGAGTTAGAATTGAATGGACAGCGCAGAACAACAATAAAGTTACAGTATCGTTGATATGCTGTGTGCTGAGAAATGTTCTACCTCTTTTCTCGACACTAAGGAATAATTTGATGGCACTATAAAAAAGAGTTCTGATCTTTGTTGTTAGAAAGACAATGTAGAATTTTTGTCTATGTTATGGAAAAATAAATTATCCTGAAAATGAATATATCATCAATGATCTACATCCAAGACATTTTTAGAATAGTTTATCACAACTTTTCAGTTTTCTACTTTGGCGTTCTGAAAATTTTGCTTACTTTGAGTAAACATTTAATAATTTATTTTCATTTTGAGTAAAATAATTTATTGCTTCTCGACCTTTTGGCTAAGATCAAGTGTTGAGTAAAATAATTGAGCATTTTAATTTTTAACATTTTAAGTATTATTAAAATAATTATTCCACAGTTGTAACTATGGGTTTCATGATTTTCCCTTTTATGGAGCTAAGATCCTTGTCTCATTTACAATCTTAAATTCACATTTGCCCCATTCACAAGCTAATCTTTCAAACTTGAGGGTTATAACATTAGATAAGATGTACACTTAAAATAAGATACTGGAAAGCTCTGAGAATATTTAAAAGTTCTCATTTTAACTAACAGATAGTAGTTGAATAAACTTCATTTGGGAACGTCATAGTTAATTGAATTTAAATAGAATTTTATTCAATCATTGCATGTACTTTTCTGTTTCAAAATAGAAAATTATAAGAACGTTTTAATATTAAAGGATTTTTTGTGTGTGTTTTGTCCCATAGGGATGTTTTTAAAATACAAGTATACTCGTCAAATAAATTCCATAAAAAAATTAGCAAACAACATGACTTCTCCAAACGTAATAAAACTATATATGATGTGCTGCTCCACTTGAGTGGAAAACTGCCACCTGGAGTTAATTTAAGCCAGTCTTTGCCGATGGATAACCCAGAACGATTGATTCAGCTTCATTTACAGCATGCTGCACTTCTCAATTACCTTGCGTAAGAACATTGGGTGTACTAAAGTATACAAAGTTAATTCTACTTACCGTTTTCACTTAGTTTATCTTTTAAAGCTTCATACCTTTCCATTATGATATTTTATGGAATTCCGTCTAAGAATGACACTATCTCAAAGTAGATATCACAGAGTTGATTCTGCAGGAGAAGGCTTAACTGAGGGAAGGAGAACCTTTTTTTTAATCAAATAGACATAGGCTTAAAATCTAGCTTTGTTCTACTTTGGAAACCTTGCCTATAAAAGTTACTTACCCTGTTGAAGCTCCAATTTCAATATTTCTAAAAGTATGGATGATAATACCTAAACTTAATTTGTTGATAAAAGAATTAGAAATAATGAAATGTGCATTCTGAGACCTAAAGTGGATGGTTCTTATGAAAAACCTGAAATCATGGCATAATATGGATTTCATATGCTAGAATATTTCCTTACATTTTTTCAATGTAGCAACATGTAGGACATTGACTTGTGACATTATCATCACTGAGCAAGAATGTGTGTATATAAAAAAAATAATTTGTTCTATTAGAAATTAAGATCTTGTTGAAATGCCAGTATATATCAATTATGCTATTATGTTTATTGCATAAAATGGGACTTTTCTTAATTTCTATAATTTAAAAATGGAACGTGCATAATATTTCTTTGCATTTTAACACTTTCTATTCCTGACCTTTCATGGTTGATTTAATCAGGTAAACTACATTTCATAAGATTTTCATTGGCTATAATCTTTGGAAGCAGATGGCCAGGCCTTTTCCCCGAGGCACTTCTGGTTTTATTTGAGCTGTGAATCTTTTGTCTAATAGCCAAGTGTTTCATCATTTGTGCTATCCAGGAACTCCTCCTTAAGAAGCTACTTTAGTAAATGGAGCACTCTTGATATTTGTCCTTAGACTCTCAGTAGCATTTGATAGAATCGGATTATTTCCCCCTGAAATCCTGTCTTGACTTCCTATGCCGCGACAGGTTCTAGTTTCTTCATCTCTATGAGCTGTCTGCCTTTATTTCACTTTCCAGGAGGCTGCTCCAAATTAATGGAAACATTATCTCATTGAACTCTTGAATAGGCCTTAGGTTCTGGTAAAGAGGAGTTACATTAAAATCAGATTTTATTTAAATCTCCAGTATTTCTAAAATTTCTAAGATTATGAGAAAACTCTTAGGAATAATGTAGATATTGACAGAAAATGTACGGAGATCGAAGAGAAAGGGATAATGTTTCACTGCAAAAGAAAGGAATTGCCCATAGTCTGTATGATTTCAACCATTAGCTTGGCTGGTCCAGGGAGAATGATGTTCACTGCTTCCAAACCTGCAATTGTTCCTTTATTCATTTCTTTCTTCTAACATTTCAAGGTTTGAGCATTCAGATTTATATTTGCTTGTGTTTTCTTTTTCTTTTCCCCACTCCTTTTGAGCCACAGGCTGACTCCTGTGGGTAAGCATTCCATATGGAGTTCTTGTCTGTTAGATTCTGGTGGTGAACGCTGTTGTTTGATCACAAAACAAATTAAACCTGAATACCAAAATTCCCCACTTGAAAATACTCCTGTCAAAACCTAACTTCAGTAAAATGGCTTTGATATGGATAGACAAGCATATAAATAGTTTGAATAAGATTTTAAAGGGAAATTGAGAGTAGATCAAGTATGTATGTGTATATTGGGTGGTAGGTTAAACATTGGGAAGCTAATAGAAAGATCAGCAGGGTTCAAAACCACCAGCTGCTCCTTGGGAGGAAGTTGAGACTGTCTGCTCCTGTAAAAATATACAGCCTCAAAAACCCAAAGAAGCAGTTCTCTTCCCTACAGGTTCACAGTGAGTTGGACTCAACTTGATGGCAGTAGACATATCTATTTATATACGGTCTTAAATATGTCAATATATTCCATAACATTAATATCAATAAATATATACTGTTTCAGCTCAACTACAAGTTTGTATAATGAAAGAAGCAAAATACTTTGGATAATCTCATTGGAAAAGTAAATATTTGAGGCTTTCCATATTCAGATTTATATCATACTAGACCAAATGAAGATTGTATGAGGGTTTCAAAAAGTTTAGAGGAAAATCCCATTATCTTTCAATTCTACTTTTCCACAAACTTTTAGAAGGGCCCTTCTATGACTAATAGTATTCTAAAAGAAATCGCATATGCACATTTCATTAATAGAGGTTATTTTAAATTTTAATTATGTACCTTAAATTCAAAATATAAATTTCAGTGACTCAAATGCAGATACTTTGTGTATTATGAATATACTATCATAATTAGACTTTTCAAATTTTAGGACACATGGAGCGTATATTTCTCATGTGTTGCCAGAATTTCTGTTTGAACCAGACGATTATAAGACTTGGATTGAAATTACAGTAAGTGAATATTATTTGTAGAGAAAAATCTGCACAATTATTAAATTTATTGATAAACCTTTTTAGAAAATTCTATTTTACAATACTTGATTTTTTATGATTACATAAGATTTAAGCCTCTCTGGAGCCCACATTCTTTTCCCCTTTATTATAAATACTGTGGAATTATTGCAAATATGATTATATGACTTTATTTAGTGTATGAGAAATGATCTCTTTTGGAAATTGCTACAAGAAGAATGGTGTGTACCTATATACTTTGTTTTCCTTAAAAGGAAATTCTTAGAACATTGTCTTCCAAAGAAAATACTAACTTGATTGCACCACCATTTGCCATGTTAAGTCTTCAGTTTTAGGGGAGAGTAAAAATCAAGGATCCCTAGTAGCATAATGGTTACATGTTGAACTACTAACTTCACGGTCTGCAGTTTGAAACCACCAGCCCCTCGATGGGAGAAAGAGGAGGCTTTTTACTCCTGTAAAGAATCACAGTCTCTGAAACCCCCTGGGGCAGTTCTACTCCGTCCTGTAGGGTTTCTCTGAGTTGACCTTGACTTAATGGCTGTCAGGGTGTTTTTTAGAGAGAAATTAAGCAGAAATGCATGACGTTTTCTCAAAGTGTTTTATTATTATTTTATGAAAACTTAACGATACGGGAAATTGTTTTTGAGAAATCTATTGTTGCTTTAAGGCAACTGTGCTTTGTGGCACTTGTCCTAAGGTTGCCACGTGGCATGAGTGAGCGAGCCAGGGGCCTATTTGGTGCTATGCTGAGTTTCCACAGCCCAATCCAAAAGGTAGGATTCTGTCTGAGGCCAGGTTTCAGAAGAACTTTGCATTTTGTTCCGTGACAGAGTGAGTTTGTAGTGGCTTGGAGGGAGTGTACTCAGACTTCAAATTAAAATTCAGAGGATTTATTTCACATTTGAGGGACATCCAAAAGGAAAATCACCAGTTGGTTTAGGTGAAAATATGAAAATTTCAGGGAGTGAGTTGCTGAGCATGGGCAAACCACAGATAAGAAACAACAGGTTATAGTGCAGGTGAATGTTTTAGTGTGGTCACAAAAGGGAAGGTTAAAGAAGTGGGGAAGAGCTTCCAGTGAATCCAGAGAATCCAGGCAGGCTATGGCATTTATAGTCATAATCGCAAAAAGCTTTCAATATATACTTTTAAAACAGGTTTAAAAATATCTATGTTTATACAAAGTTCTCCTTGGGACCCAAGCTGAAAACAAGAATGACAACCGAAGCTCTTTCTTTAGAAACCCCTGGTTCGATTGAAAGCTTCTGGGTCATTTGGGAAACTAGTTAAGAGTGCTTGGTTGAAAGATTCTTGTGACTTTGTTTCTTTAACCTGATTGTGAAAACAATATATCTTCAGGCCATTTTACACCAACAGATTTGTGTCAAACCCCACTTCTTAGAGGTGTTTTCCTTTCACATCCTGGTGTGACTGCAGAAAAATATTCCATTTGTTATTTATCACTTATAGCTATTAACATAGTCACATAACACAAGGGTGTTAGAAGTTTGCTTTCAAACATTTAGAGTCAGGTCAACAGACTGGTAAAGATGAGCTTCATTTAGCAAGAGTTTTGCATTATTCCATATTTTAGTTTTGGTCAAAAGGCTTTATACATTTCTCCTTTATAGTAAATACATTGAAAGAATTAATTTATGACCTCAGTAAGGGACTATGTGCTCTAAAAGTTTACCTGTGCTTTTATACCTCCTAATATTGACCATATAGGAAATTAGAGCTATGAAACAATGTATTACAAAGACCTGTAAAGATTTTATAATAAGAAAATATTAACTTACATACCGTATATACTCGTTCGTGTGTAAGGCGAGTTCTTCAGCACATTTTTAAGGCAGATTTTGTGGTAAAATTAGGTGCCTCGGCTGATATTCGAGTAAGTTTATACTCGAGTATATACGGTATTAACTAAATAGTTTTGGGCTTACCTTTCACATACATTTTAATTAAAATTGTCACTTTTTATATCTTTAAGTCTTCTAGTACTGTTCAGCCAAGTTCTTGTACACCAAAGGAGAAAATTCTTGTTATTGATGCTGCTGACTTTGAAGCCTTGAGTAAACGGGCATGGACAGACGTACTTCTTCAGATATACAAGGTAACTTTTCCACTACTGTTTACTGACATTTTTTTGTTGAGTTACTTGAATAGGTTCTTAGTTAAGGGAGTATAGGCTATATTCTTGTAAAAGATTTTTTAAAACACAATGGCTTAAATTAGATATAAATGCATTTCGGATCTATAGAAAAACGAGAAGTTCAATACTAGTGTGATAGCTCTTCCATGCTCGGTACAAGGCTAGCAGCAAAAGTCTGCTTTCTCAAAAAAAAAAAATCAGAAGTGGGAAAAGGTATTTTGGAGGGCAAAATTCCTTTTAAGGATGTCTTCTGTAAAAGGCATCATTTCCATTTGATATTTCATTTGGCACTTCACGGTCACATGGTCAAGAGAGTTATAAAGGAATTGTGGTACTGAAAGGAAGAATTAAAGAATGGATTTTGAATCAAATTATGGTCTAGGATACAGTAGAGTGTTAGTATAAAATTACTGTGGAGAGATATTAAAGACAAATCATAATAGTGCAAGGCAGGATTAGGATGTGATAAAACTCTTCAACTTATTTCATGCTAAATTGCATTTACATGTGTTGTTAGATAAATGTAACATAAAATATTCCTTTATACATTCTCTTTACTGCATAAACAAATCCTCATTTCAGTCCTGAGATTTATTTCTTAGATTTTTAAATATGTCACTATAGCCCTTGTGCACTGAATATGGCGGAATATTTTACTCTCTTCATTCTTTAAATGCTATTTATATGTAACCTCATTTAACATTGCTGATTAGAAATCCCCAGTTTGGAAGCTAGGGAACTAAAGCTCACAAATACAATTACTTTCTTCCAAGGTCACATGATGGTGGCTACTTGAAACAAATTGTTATACATAAAGCGCATTGTTTGCTTGTTTTCTGCTGAAACCCAGGATCTTAGGGTCCTTCTGGTGACCCCTGGCAATATAAATCTTCCATTGAAGCCAGAAGCACTTGCTAATGAAGATCAAAGATTGCAGCTTTCAGTAGAGATTACAGCGTAATGTAAAGAAAACAAAAGCCCTCACAATTGGACCAAGAGGTAATAATCATGACAGATGGAGCAAGAAGACTGAAGGTGTCACGAATTCCTTCTTGCTTGAATCCACAATCAAATTTCATGGAAGCAATAGTCAGGAGATCCAAAGACCCATTGCATTGTGTATATCTGCTGCACAAGACCTCTTTAGAGTGTTGAAAAGCAAGGATGGTACTTTGAGGATGAAGGTATACCTGACCCAAGCCATGGTATGTTCAGTTGCCTCATGCATGTTAGAGTTAGACATAGAGTAAAGAAGACTGAAGAAATAATCCAAGCATTTTCACTATGGTATTGGTGAAGAATGTTGAAAGTACTGCCAAGGGAACAAAAACAGATTTGTCTTGGAAGAAGTACAGCCAGATTGCTCCTTAGAGGCAAGGATTGAGACTTCATCTCATGTTACTTCGGACATATCAGGAGAGAGACCAGTCCCTGGAAAAGATATCATGTTTAGTAAAATTAAGGGGCAGCGAAAAAGGAAGGCCCTTGACAAGATGGATTGGCACCGTGGTTGCAACAATGGGCTCAGGCGTAGCAACAATTGTGAGGTATTTCATTCTGTTATACATATGGTTGCTATGAAATGGAACTGACTCATCGACACCTAACAACACCAACAACATTGAAGTAAGACTGATCCAGGCTTGTCCTCTGAAGTTCCTTCTGCATGATTCCTATTTGTTCCTCCTTTGTTTCTCTTCTGCTACTTCCACTGACTTACTTAGTCTGTCCTGCTGGATGTTAACAAGAGACATCCTATTGTTCCTCAAGCCATTCTCAGCAGAAGATAAAGGGCTATTTTTGACTCTTTACCAATCTGAGAGATGGGAAAGGCGTTCTCTTTTTCCTTACCTCCAAGATGCATAATCTGTCATTTTGGCCACTAATAAAGAGGGACTATTCCAAAACAAAAAAGCAGTAAATACCCAACCTTAGGGGTGTAAATTACAGGTATATGTAATTATTAGTATTTCTGGTTAATTTGTAAACTGATCTATAACAAAATATGATTGAGGAGAAAGCAAGATGAGTCAAAATTGTTTCCTTAAATTGGTTTTAGAATTCCCTATGATATTAGTGCCTCATAATGTGCAAACACATGTACTTTACACATGTAATAGAAAATATTTCACTTCCCTGGCTGGCCATTAAGTCTGGATATGCATGTATGTTATAAATATATGTGTGAGAAATATCTATAACTTCGTTCTCTTAGAAAGAGAAAGCTCATGCGGTAGGAAGAGTGATCTTTTTGTTTTTTAAAAAAATGAATTTGTTACATAACCTGGAGACAATCAATTTTAGGTGGATTTTGATAGAGCACAAGCAAGTGGTTACACTATGAAAGGATGTTGCAAATGAATTCTTATGCGTATGACCAGCAGTGTCCTTCCTTGTCTTAATTCAATGTGAAAGGACATAGTGAAAATTTTAAATACTGTAAAAGTAAGGTTTCTGAGTGACATAAATTCATTGTGACCTATGTGAATTCAAGAACCTATGTTTTTCTTCTATTTTTACTTTTATTATTTTTAAACTGTTTTATGAGCACTTCATCCACATATCACACAATTCAGCAGTTCAGTCCAGGATCTCATTTCTAAAAATGAGATATGCTGGCTATTTCTGAGACATGTACTCTCACTTATGGCTAGTGTTTTCCTATTGTATGTAATTTCCATTATTTTCTATGGTTAGTTCAAGTGGTCCATCCAGGAATGTTTTCCATCACTCAGATAGGTTGCGGTGGTGATGGTTTGTGCTTTCAAGTGGATTCCAACTCCTAGGAAGCCTATAGGACGGAGTCAGACTGCCCTGCATGGTTCCATAGGCTGTAATCTTCCCCAGAGCAGATCTCCCACTAAACTGCCCAGGGGTTCAAACTGTTGACCCTCGCCTAGCAATGGAATGTTTGACTATTGTGCCACCAGAGTGCCTTCCCATGGATGTATTGGATATAGTTTTTTTAGGATTTGAGTAGCATGATTTTCATGTGGTTGTAAATCAACCAAGTCTCAGATGTTGGACTTTTATACAGGATTTTTGAGGGGGAAATATGATTTTTTTAATTTTCAGAGGCTGACTGCACAGATATTCTTGTGTAGTGTGTACATAATTATTAGTAGGTAATGAAATTTTACTTACATACTGCTTGCTAAGCCTTGGCTCAAGTACAGTCTGTATCTCATCAAAGTAAGAGTGCCACTGAGTGCCATCAGGATAAAATGTACTCAATGGCTGTTTATTTTGGAAGAACATTGCCATGTCACTCTTTTGAACTTGATTAAATTGCCAACTTTTCAGTTAGCAGCCAATCATATTTGCACCATAAAGAAAAAGAACCATTTTACTTCTAGTTAAGCCTTCAAATGTGAGGTCCTTTCAGTTTTTATTAGTCAGCCATCTTGATGATGATGGCCCAATACACTGTCTTCAACTGACTTCGCAGTTAATTTGGTTTTGGTATACTTTAATTCCTTTGACTTAATGGTATAAGGGACTTGACCAAGTGTCACATTCTAAGGAATCCTTAGAGTCTTAAGGAAATGTCACAGACTGACTATTAATGCCATCCCTCTTAGCACCATAGGATTATTGAAGAAAATTCTTCAGAATAAAGGCAGCTAGCTAAATAGAGTAAACAAAACCATAGGTATCTCCTCATAATACAAACATAGAATCTTTCATTTGTTTTTTGTGCCAATTAACAAAATCGTTTAAAATAAGCAAAAAATAACTTTAAAATGTAGTCACCCAAATAAAGTGATGAAATTCACGTGGAGATGAAAATACATAAAACAATGATGGGATAGCATTTAATATATGCAATTATACTATTATTATCAATACTTTCTTTAGTTTATCATTATTGTATTGGGGGTCTTCAAAACATTCCGTAGTAACAGAACAGGATAGGCAGGAACTATGTTTCATCTACTGGCTTTAACCTGGGTGCCTTCACTCACATTTCTTGAATCAGCTCTTTAGCAAAAATTAGGAACATATCCAAATAACTTCCTGTGAGCAGCAAAGGCTTTGCTAAGTAGAGATCACTAAACCTGAGTTACTCACAACTCATAGACTATTTGCAATAGCTAGCAGGGTATCCTGGTCTTTGTAGTTCTTCACACCTTCCCTTGACCTTATGTTTGTGTGGTTTCAATGTTAAATAACAATTACTAACACTTCTTGCACTTTTTGTATATTTGGGTGTGCATATGATGGAGGTTTGCCCTTTATATGTGTTTTTATTCTTTATGTCATTTTTCTATGCACTTATTTTTATACTGCTTTACAAAACTCGCATCCCATGGCAGAATGAAAACAGACACGCTTTTCAAAAAAAAAAGAAAACAGACACGCTTTTCACCACCAATTGTTTGAAGAGCACAGCTGTACAATTAGGTATTCAGGGTAATGGCTGGCCCTGTATTAAATATTCTAGCCAAGTTCCACGCAGGTCCATCATTAAGCACACATTTTCAGTTGAGGGTCACTTGCAGCTCTTACTTCACTTATCGTGTGGAGATGACAGATGAATTCAGAGCCAGCTGAAGTTACTAGCTCCAAACATTCCTCTCAGCCGTGCTTAGGTGATTCATCATTTGATATTTCCTGAGAATCACCATTAGGTGATTCATCATTTGATATTTCCTGAGAAAGGGGTGAAGGTCTTTTTCAAAGACATAGAATTACATTTTTATAGAACATGGTATTGGAAATTTAGGAGCTCTAGATCACATAACTGTCAGAAATAAAGAAAACAGTCCTGTTACACTACCATCAAAAATGCATGTGATGCAATTCATTTTTGTACAATGGTTATACTCAGCTAGCCATATGACAGATAAATAGCTAATATGCAGAAATGGATTTTTTCCCCATGAGATTTTAAAGTTGTTCCCAGGGTAGCAAATAAAAGAGTTTGAGGACAACCTTGGGTCTTTTGTATCAGTGACCATTTGTGTCAATCCACAGTAGAGATATATAAAGAAAAGTGAGTACCTTTCCAAAGTTACAATTAACATTTACTTGACTATAGAAGTAGTTGTCTTAGATTTCTCCCCAAATCAAACTATGAGACAAGTATTTCCATGCAAGTAGTTTATTGCAGAAATTATTCCAGGAAATATCTCATGTGGAGAATTTACACAAGTAGTAGAGAAGATAATGAGGCCAAGAAAAGATATTCTTTCCAAACAGGTCTCTCCATAGGCAACTAATGCTCAGTTCCATTGGAGAACTCTTTTTTAAAAAATTTTAAATCATTTTATTGTGGGTTCTTACATATATAACAATCCATAAATCAATTATAACAAGCAAACTCACACCTATGTTGCCATCTTCATTTTCAAAACTTCTTTCTACTTGAGCCCTTGGTATCAGCTTCTCATTTTTCTCTTGCACCCCCACCCTCGTGAACCCTTGATAAATTATGTACTATTATTATTTTTCATATCTTACGCCGTCCACGGCATCCCTTCACACACGTTTCTCTCGAAGACATCACATTTATCCCAACTGGAATAAGAAAGCTGGAGCATTTCTTTAACAATTTCCTTATTTTCTTTGGTTTGGGCTGCTTTTCACAGGTAATCAATCCTCTGACACTTGCAGGCTTGACTTCCTATGGACCACAAAAGGGGCACAAAAGCAGTCCCCCTACAGAGACACTTGTAGGTGTTCACAGTAAACACCCTTCAGAATGTGTAGGGAAATGCTAAAGGAATATGGGCAGAGCATCAACAATAACTTAACAACACATACCACTCCAGTTTTAATCTTTGTGCTCGTGCCTTTTGAGAGAAGTAAATTTACATTTGCAAACCAAAAGAAGAGTTCTATACTGTCCTATAAGGCCATTATGAATTGAAATCTACTCGATATCAGTGATTTTTGTGTATGTTTTTAATTTTATAAAGTCCCTAGGTGGCACCCATGCTTAAGCCCTTGTCTGCTAACATTGGTGGCTCAAATCCACCCAGCAGTGTCTCCTAAATAAGGCCTGCTGACCTGTTCCCATAAATATTCTAGCCAAGAAAATCCAGTGGAACAGGTCTACTCTGTAACATATGGCTTGACCATGGCATGGAATCAACTCAGCATCAAAAGGTTGTGTTCATTTCATGCTTGTAAGTTAAAATGGTGCCTTATAGACTACATGGTGACAAAGCAAAGAGTCTGGAATTTTAAATAAGTATTAAGGGGCGTCTTATCTATTTTTGTATTTCCTGAGTGGATTCATTTAACAATTATGATACCTTCATTTATTTATCTAGGTTTCATATATTTTCATGTACTACTCAAATATTAATTTATTATTTGGACATTTGAGGCTAGTAAAATTTATCTCTCTTGTTCCCCCAATTTCAGGTGTTGGTTTTGTCTCGAGTTACGCCACACAAGGGCAGTAGTACACCCCCAATACAGTCACAAAGTACACAGCGAGTGAATCCGTGCTTTATATCCAGTAATGTATATTCTACTTCTGAAAGAATTCTGCTTAGTTGGCTGAACACAAATTATGAGAATGGCCGACATATTGTATGGAAAAAAGATCGTACAGGTGAGAAAGTTATTTATATATATATATGATATATTTGCTTGAGATTAACCATTGCATAGTGTATTATGACAATGTGGCAATGAAGAATTGTAGGATGACAGTGCAGGAGGAGCTGTGGAATAGGACGGAAGATCCAGAGATTCTGCACCTAACTCTAGTATTTATTTTTGGTTCTGCCAAAAGGAGATTTTTAACATCTTCAACATCAGTTTATTCGCATGTAAAAAGGAAATTATAAAAGACGTATATTCAATTTATTGCAGAGAATACATGAAGTCTATAGACCTACTCGAGAAATGAAAGATAGCCTTATTATTGTTGATGACATTTTCAAGTACAACAATTATTAGATTTAGATAACAAATACAGTACAGATTAGGATAACTAATATACAATTCATTTATAAGTTGAAATTTGGCTAAGCAATATCCTATATTTATATTGTTATGACATCTTTGGAACATGTTAGGCTTCTAAGCTAAGACAAATAAGTGTCCATAGATAGGCCAGGTTCAGTACTCAGTTGGCTCTCCATAGTTCATCTCTTGTGGTCAGTTTCTTAGGGCATTTTAAAGTAGTTTAAAGACAGTTATAAAGAGATTAAAAAGAGACACTTATATTGGTATTTGAGCTTAGTACACATTAATATTTGTTTGAATACCTTATAATCAAATGGTATTGAATATAATTTGACTTTAAGCTGCAACTTTATAACCATATCTGTAAAAGTGTATTTGACCTATTCCAATTTAATAAACAGCAAAATGTGAACATGTAGTAATTAAGGTGGGCTACACAAATACACATAAAACTAGTTGGATTACTGTGGAGTCTACTTTAATAGGAGCATTATAAAATATGTACATATATTATAAATAATGTGTTTATTGGTTCTAAAAATCATGGCCATTCTGGTTAATCAATAGAATGATCTATGCAAGTCTTCAAAAGTTTCAAAGAGTTTTCAATTTTCAAAGAGTTCACTGCATTTAAAAAAAATAATATATTCTGGGCACTTGCATGTAGCTACTTTTGAACACACAGAGCCTCTCTATGTTTGTAAAGCTTTTGTACTTCCTAACCCCCTTGTTGCTGCTTGCCCGTTAAGTGGCTTTTGACTCACAGTGACCCAGTAGTGTTTCCAACATTGTAATATTTATGGGAGCAGACTGCTACATCTTTCTTCCTTGGCGCTGCTGATGGTTAAACTCATCATCCCCTTTTTGGTTAGCAGCTGAGAGCCTTGCCATTCTGCCGCTGGGCCCTCTTTCAGTTATCCCTTCAAGCTTCCATTTTTTGCTTCATTCAGGTCCTTCCCCAAATGTCTCCTTCTCTGAGAAACGTTTCCAATATTCTCTAAAATAGCAGTCCCTTCAGTCTTTCCTTTTACTGCTCTGATTTTCTCACTAGCAAAATTTCAAAATATGTTTATTTGTTTCTTCTCAGTCTCTTTCAGTAGAATTTAACAGGAAGGATTTTATAGTTTTTAAAAAATCATTTTACTGGGGGTTCATGGAACTCTTATCACAATCCATACATACATCCATTGTGTCAAGCACATTTGTACATTTGTTGCTATCATTCTCAAAGCATTTGCTTTCTATTTGAGCCCTTGGTATCAGCTCCTCATTTTCCCCCTCCCTCATGAACCCTTGATAATATATAAATTATTATTATTTTGTCATATCTTACGCTGTCCGACGTCTCCCTTCACCCACTTTTCTGTTGTCCATCTCCCAAGGAGGAGGTTATAGGTAGATCCTTGTAATCGGTTCCCCCTTTCCACCTCACCCTCCCTTCACCCTCCCGATATCGCCACTCTCAGCACTGATCCTGAAGGGTTCATCTGTCCTGGAGTCCCTGTGTTTCCTGTTGCTATATGTACCAGTGTACATCCTCTGATCTAGCCAAATTTGTAAGGTAGGATCGGGATCATGAGAGTGGGGTGGGGGTGTGGGGAAGCATTTAGGAACTAGAGGAAAGTTGTATGTTTCATTGTTGCTACACTGCACCCTGACTGGCTTGTCTCCTCCCCGCGACCCTTCTGTAAGGGGATGTCCAGTTACCTACAGATGAGTCTTGGGTCCCCCATCTGCACTCCCCCCTCATTTACAATGATTTGATTTTTTGTTCTTTGATGCATGATACCTGATCCCATCAACACCTTGTGATGACACAGGCTGGTGTGCTTCTCCATGTGGGCTTTGTTGCTTCGATCTGTAAGTTTTTGTGTTGTTTTGTTTACACTGTTGTATTCCCAGAGAATAGACTAATTCCTGAAAATGAACAGGCCTCTACCAAATATTGGTTAAATAAACAAATGAATGCACAGACATGTGATTGTGTATTACTTTACCAGTCTGTACTATCTTATCCAAATCTGTCTTGGAAGAAATACAGCCAGAATGCTCCTTAGAGGCAGGGTGGCCAGACTTCATCTCATGTGTTTTGGTCATGTGGTCAGGAGAGACCAGTCCCTAGAGAAGGACAGTAGAGGGGCAGCGAAAAAGAAGGCCCTCAGCAAGGTGGACTGACGCGGTGTCTGCAACAGTTGGCTCAGAGACATAAGAGCAATTGTGAGAATGGGGCACGACTGGGCAGTGTTTCATTCTCTTGTGCATAGAGTCACTGAGTCAGAAATGACTCGATGGCACTAACAATAGCATACAAATGTGGGGGTGCGGTTGCATAGTTGAGGTAAAGAAAGGAGCCACTTCCTGTTTTCAACATACAGTTGATGGGTACAGGCACATGTTTAGTAAGTGAGATGGCCCATAAGGAGGTCTGTGAAGTTTTCACTGAAATGTATTTGTCTTGAGAAAAAATAAAACTCATTGCCTCCAAATTTTACGTCCCAACATTGCAATATAGTCTACTTAACCCCACCTCCTTGGAAAAGTCCGATGGTGCTTAGAGCCTGATGTGGAGAATAGAGAACCTCACCTCAGATCCAATGAATGAGAAACTCTAGGTGTGCTAGTTTTGAGTATCTAATCCCTGTCCACCTCAGGCCAGGAAGATGCTGCTTTTACCAGCTCAGTCATCTTGCATGACCTTCTGAAATCGTAGATGGAAAATATCTATGGACTTTACCGAGAGTACAAGGATCATGCCTGTGTTTAACAAGTTTGATTTCATTCTCATTGTAAGGAGAAAAGCCACACATGTTGGGAAACCATGGGGCTTCTTAACATAAAAGGCTGTTAGTAAAGATGGGTTTATAGGATTCAGTTGTTGGTTGATTGATTTGGTGAAAAGCTCAAGGTAGTTGAAGTTTGCCATGATTTGATGCTGTAAAAAACAGCTGTTATTCTGATTGTGGAACTTATTAAAGGGGTTGAGAAGATTAGAGAGAAGCTAAATCTATAATTATTCAGATAGCAGGAGTCACTTATTTTAGCAAGGAGAGCATCTTTGATATTTTGTGATTTACACAGTGCAATTGTTTTTGTCTGTGTTTAAACAAAATTATGAGGTGGTCTGGTTTTTTGCCTTCACCAGAGTGGCAGGATGTCTTCATGTCTCATGTATCATGAGATTACTTATGTCCGGTAAGAGAATATAAAATGGCTTAGTGGTGCATCAGGGCAACTCCCCTCAACAGCTTAAAAAGAAAAAAGTTTATTCAAACTTTTGGTGACCCTGTGTGTTTCAGACTCCACAGGATTTTCCAGAAGCAAATCACGTGGTTCTTCTGGGTGCATTTAAATGACCAGTTTTTCCTTCAGTAGCCCAGAACTTAACCAATTGCACCCACAAGGACTCATATAAACACTAAAGCCTAGCATTCTCCCATGTGTCAGCAATTTTTTCTTCTTTATCATTGAATTCACCAAATAGAATATATTAAAATATATACATAAAATATTATATTATCTGAATTAATCAGTAGGAGTTGTAAGAAATGAAAAATTACTTTATTATTTACTGTTAACATTTGTAAATAGATGAGAGCATATATTTTAACAATTGATGCGTTTTAACATTTACTAAGATTTAGTGACCAATATTAAATTCCATCTACTAAAAATGTACCACTTAATTATTTCCCCATGGAAACAATGAGGAACATGAGAAACCGTGACCAAGTATTAATTGATCTGACTTAATCAGGATTAATGACTCAATTTTGACTGAGGTCTTATAGATCAACCCATCACCACCAAGCACTTTAGAGTCGCATGACCACAACATCGTCCAGTGAACACAAAAATAGCAAAATAAAAGGACTCGGTTGAGAAATGCAAAAGACTTTTCTACAAATAAGATGAGCAAATGGCCAGTAAACACATGAAACTATCCTCAATGTAATTATTAGGAAGACACAAACTGAACCGCAATAAGGTACCCCACTTCACATTGACTTGAAAGATTACATTAAAAAATTTCAGACTTTAGCATGCATGTACAATCATATATGAAAATTGGAACCCTCAAGCATTACTGCAGTTGTAAAATGGTACAATTATTTTAGAAAATAGTTGGAAATTTCTCTTAAATGTTAAAAATATATTTGCCATATTATTCAACAATTCCACTCATTGTTTCTACCCCAAATCATTGAAAGCAGACACACTCAGCATTTATGTACATATATACAGACAGGTGTTTATAAGCAAAATTATTCATAATAAACAAAAAGTGGCAACATGCTAAATGTTCATCAATGATGAACAAATGAACAAAATGGTATGTTGTACAATGAAGTATTTTTAATTTGCTGATAAAACAATAATGAAGTACCGTACCAATAAATGCTGCTACATGCAATGTTAAAATATTTTACTAAGGAAGATAAGCCAGGCATAAAAGGCCATATACTGCATGATTCCATTTCAAAAAATGTCCGGAATAGGCAAATCCCTAGTGGTAGAAAGATTAGTGTTTTCCAGGGGCTCAAGGAAGGGAGAAATGGAATTGATAACAAAAGGGCAAGGGGTTTCTCATTGTCATGATGAAAATATTCTAAAGTTAGATAGTGGTGATAGCTGCACAACTCTGTGGACATACTGTGCACTTGACCATTTAAATATTTACATTTAGGGTACAGTAATTATATTTTCATAAATATGTTTATTAAAAACACTACATAATAATCCCTTAAAATTAAATGTATATAGCAATTATGATACAGTGAATAAGTGACTGTACTTATTGCTTCAATGCATTAAATGATTTGATTATATTTTTAAAGATATATCTTTAATTCATTTGACTTCTACTTGCTACTTATTTATATTACTGCTTTACGTTTTCTGAATATTTCAAGTGATATAATATAAAAACATGTAACTTACAAATTAAAATGTAAAGATCTATGTAGTATCACTTGCATTTTCTGATTCCTGATACATTTTCTGATCCCTAATTATTGAGGCCTACATCAGACTTCTGGCTTTCACCTCAAAACTCAACCCGAGAACAATACTTCCTGTACTGTAATGTGAATACAAATTGTCTGGAGACTTTGTTAAACTGTTTTTCTGTGTTCAACAGTGTTGGATAGTGCGTGTAATGGTATGATCCAGCTTCCATTTAATTCAAGTGCTCCTGATACACACCACACACCTAGATATACCCTAAGGCACCAATAAATGGTGACAGGAGCTTGACAACAGCCCGGGGTAGAAGACAACGGGGTATTCACTTTGGGAGAAGAAGCTGGGGAAGAACGTTGACTTTTGCTCTTAAATTTTCCTGTAATCGTTGCCATCCTATTCTCCCTGACAGCCACCTTGCAGCAGCCAATAATAATGAAGTATTGTCAAAGTCATCCCAAAGCTGTGAAGGAATACATTTTAAAAACAGGTGTAATTGGTTCCTGCTCAAAATGATTCTGTAGAAGGTTGTAGAACTACCCTGGGAGTTTTCTGAAGCTTTGATTTCTGTGGCTGGTGATTTCCAACTGTCCACTTTGTTGTGGTTAGCAGCCCGAGGGCTAACTCAGTAATTGACTCCATGGCAGGGAGTTTGGGGTACTGGCTTTTGCTAGAGGGATTTAGAGAGCCAGGAAGAGCTTGCTGAAACCCTTAAAACAACAAGCAAGAGTCAGGCAAATGGCAAGTTCTCAACTTTCTCTACCCCGACCAGCAAACAAAGTGGCCCCAAATCTATGGAGTGATATTTTCTTACAGGAAAAAAGAGAAATGCTAGCTGTGGTCTATTGTGATGGATACAACTATATAGATACAGCTGGACACTCGAGATAAGAGTGGAGTTAAGAGTGGTTGATAAAGTGGTAGATGCCATGTATACACTAGCTAAAGGGTATGATGTTTGGGGGACTATCGATACAGAGGAAGTCTGCATCCTTTATGGATTTTTGTTTTCCCTACAAAACTCACTGGTCTTTCACAGAAAATCTATGAAGAGTCCCGAGAAAGTGTCCGTTATGCAAAAAGTGTTCTTTCTGCAATAGCATTGCAGTAGAGACAAGCAGCTCACCCAGACTTCTATTTCTCATGTGAACAAGGAAATATATATATATATACAACTCACACTCGGGGCCCTGATTAAAACTACATGCCGCCGCAAAACAAAACAAAACAAAAAAAATATCTACACAATTGTTGTGAGTTCAGTCTGCCTCTCATTGGGACTGCCTAAGCAGAGGCCTTAGGTCCAGAACATTCTCTGCTAAGGAGACTGAGGAGTGAGTCTTGCTCTCCCAGCCCCTTCTCTCCTTGTCAGAGAAGCCTTGCTCCCTGTTCTGGACACAAAGTAAATTTTCGTTGTCTCTTGAGCATGTGCAGACATCATGTGACCCCTTGCCAACTCTACTTCTGTATCTCTTCCTGGAGAGGAGGGAATGGGATCTCTTAGTTTATGGCCCAGGAGAGGTGTGCACAGACCGATTGTCCTAAACCTATTGTGAGGAGCAACTTGCTGGCCATGGGAAACCAGTGCCCGCAAGTGAAGCTGATCTTGTTCTGTTTCTTTTGTAAGTAAAGTGCCATCACAAATAGTAGTGCGATGAGTGCTTTTGTTGGCAACTTCAAATTCTGGTGTGACATAAATGAATATTTAAAAATGGCTTATGCTTTTGAGGGCCTTGGACTGAAAATGTTTCCTCCATGATTCTCAACATTAGTTGATACATCAAATGACATCTGGTTATTGGAACTCCACATTTTTAGTTCTAGTTTCCTCCTTTGTCGCAGAACTTTCCCCACATATAGAATAACTATGTGGGAAGGGCCTGGAAATTTGGAAAACAAATTTATTTGACCCATGAAAGACAATAATGATGGAGGAATAATAAAAAGAATTCTCAATTTCAGAAATGACTGCATTTTGAGACTGGGACAAAAAGTGAAATTTTCTGTATTTTTATTGCTGAGTAGTAGTATATGAATGATCCATTCACTGATTGAAGAGCATTTGGGATGCTTTTAGTTAAAGTCAGTTGTATATAAAGCTGCTATAAGAATTTGCATACATATCTTATTATAAATACCACCGATAATTTATCCTGAGTATATAGCTAGGAATGGAATTGCTAGACCACAAAATAACAGGACTAAGCCAACTTTCACATGCTTACTTTCTCTTCACCTGTCTTCTTGGATGAAGTATGTTCAGATTGGAATTGACCTATTTTTTTAAATTGCGTTGCTTGTCTTCATTCTGAGTTTTTTTTCTTGTTGAGTTTTTAGAGTTCTGTATGTATTCCACATTCAAGAAATTTGTAGAATCTGTAATTTTAACGACACATTGTTTTGTGTCTCCATTTAATTTAGGTTTTAAAAATTCATTTGTTTTTGTTTTTAAATTATCAGCACATATATACCAAATGTGTTTTATTAGTTTTACTTTAGTATATCATTTTGAGTGCTGTCGTAAATGCTATTTATAAAATATTACTGCCCACAGGTAATACATAGAGTACAATTTGTTTTTGGTTTTGTAAATTGATCATGTACTCATAATGGATGACTCTTTTATTATCACATGGTAGTGCATTTCCCCCCAAAATGTTTCAGATAGAAACAAAGGAGATGACTCTCAGTTACTTATAACACCTCACAGATAACTTTCATAGTAGAACCTTCTGGATTTGTACAGTTTTATGTTATTGAACATTTGCTTTAATATTTTTAAAAGTTCTTTTCGTTTTTCAAGCGCAAGTAAAATCTCTCTTTGGTTGTTACTTACATGTCCATATTGTTTTTTGAAAAGAAAACAAAAACATATATTGTTACGCTTTTTAACAGGTGTTATTCCTTCAGAGAAGTGGATAATAAATTTTGATAAAGACCTTATGGATGGCCTTGTTATTGCAACACAGTTGGCAGCATATTGCCCATTTTTGGTAAGAACAACTTTTATACAAAATTGTCACCATTATTTATAAGAATTTTTCATTGAAATTTGAAATAAACTTTCTGTAAAGCGGTTATTTTAATTTTCTCTATATTCAATATAATACCTGAATCTGAATGATTAGTATTCCCCTTCGGTTTATTATTGTATTTTGGGTGCAATGATCTAATACTGCCAAACATTAATATTTATTGATTCTTGGCTGAGCTACAAAATAAACACACACAGGGCAGTGTTTATTCCATTACACAGAGGTTTCATTGTTTTTGTTTTTGTTTTTTCCAGATTGATTCTCATTTTGTAAACATGTACTTACAACCAAAGAGCCATGAACAATATCTACACAATTCCCTAATTATTCTGAATGCATTTAATGAAATTGGATTTGACATGGATTTACAAGTGGGTATCTTTTTGTAATGGATCTTGTGAACAATTTTGAGTTTTTCCTGTTAGTTTACTTCTTCATAATAGTGATTAATTCATAAATTTTAAGTATGAACTAAAACAGAATCTTCATGGGATATTGCTAAAGGATAGAAATTGAAACAAGACTAGGTAGAAATCTACTGGATTTTAAAAAATATTTAACTATGTACACCTTACTGCACAAATTAAGAAATTAATGTGAGAGGCACAATTGTTAAATAAAAATGAAGGTTGAGTTACTTGCTCTAAAAATAAATTAAAGAAGAATTATACTTAGATAGATGTTATATTTAGATTTTTTAATTTAGTTACAAATAAATAACATTTTTCAGAGTGGTCTTAAAATAAATGTATATTTGGTGATATAAAGTTTCATTGAACTTTCAATTATAAATCCATTGATCTTTTCACATCAAGTCCTCAATAGCAATCAACAATATTGAATATACTTATTATTTTTGAGTCCTTTTTAACTTTGGGGTCATGTAATGATTTATTAAATGATTCCTGATTTTGAAGAATATATAAACTCAATTAAATTATCGAGACAAACAAATACATGTTAAAAGATAAATAGCATTCTGCTCATTAATTGTCAGTCGAAAAAGTAGAATTCAGATGAGGATAGAGGTCAATATTCCTTGGAGATCCCCCCTCCAGGGCACTAAATGTTATACTCAAATATTTTTCAAGGAGTAGTTTGGAAATATTTTGAATATTGCTACTTATATTGTTTTTGCTAAAATGAAACGTTCAAAAGACTTTGATTACCCCACATTTATGTCCAGAGTATTCTTTTCCTACTGCTACCCACCCCCAACAAACATATCTTCCCTCTCTTGGGACTACCCTCTTCAATTCACACCCATAAACTGTCCCAGTACACAGGGAGTAGCAGGCCCAGATTCTTCACATTAGGATTGAAAAGAATCTGAGTAGCAGCCTCTGTAATTAATTTTGATTTTGTTCTCCTCTGAAATAAGTTAATTATCTCTGTTGTCTAATTTTTCCTTTGTTGAAGAAATGTGAAACAGCAAAGTACTAATGAGAAACGTTAGCGACGGATGTGTTTCACAGTACTCCTCAAATCTTACAAGCAGCTGTGTTTCCTGCTGTAACAGGCCACTTCCTGCATTCTTTAAGGCCAATCACTTCCTTAGGCACCTTCCTTGTTAAACTGAATTGCGAAAATGAGAAAGTAACTAGAGGAGCAAACCCTTTCACGCTTCCAAAGACAGGAGAGGAAGGTCTGAGGAAGAATGGATCAGTAAGTGATCAGAGAAGCTATCATTCTCTGATAATTGCTGCCAAATTTCACAGATATGGGCATCCATCAGTCCCAGAAAACATATTCCATCCCCTTTGCTCTCACCCTATGTGCCAAACCCAGACCATTTTCAGTTCTTAGTTTGAGTAAATATGATGAAGACTATTACATTGAAGTGCACAGAGCTTCCATTACTTCCATGGAGTATTTGAATTCTTAATGGCGGTTTGTATCTCTTTTTATCCCTGCTTCACAGAAATCCAGTCCCAATAGCATTTCTTAGCTCTGAATCAACTGATAGAAACAACCTTTCTCCCCTTTGTTCCCTTGGCTCCACTTTTTGACTCCAAATTAAGTTCCCACTATCTGTATTGCCTTTGCTGTTATTCTTCTGTAATTTGGGGTTTATCTCTAATCTATTCCAACCACCATCCATCACTAATTTATCTTGCCTCTCAGTAAAATTACATTTACTTATTTCAAACAATTTGTCCTCTCCCCATATCAGCCTTGCCTGATCTACCTAAGTTACAACAGTTGCCCTTAACCTGTTACTCCTTGGTCAGAAACCCAGTGTCTCACTCTGGGATCCACCTCTTACACATGTGGCCCCAGAATTTAGTTTGATCACCTACTATGAAAATACAATTTTATTTTCTTTCCCAACCAAACACTATTCATATTCACTTTATTATTTTACATTATTTTGCCTTTCTGATATATTACACCCTTCACCCCAAACAACAACCTATTTAAAATCCTAGCATTCTTCATGATACATCACAAGTACATCTCCCATGGTTTTTCTTTGAATGGTTTATATGCTACTTTAACACAAGGATGGTGCGATAGTGTTTTCTCTGAGCTCTGACTGGCATTTAAGGGATGCTGTGAGATCAGTGTTCTATTTAAAATCCATCTAACTGAATTTTACTTTTAGGCCAATATTTTCAGATTCATCACTAAATGCTGTGTGCTGTATCTATATTTCAGTATCATTGATTGCCGATCAATAACATTTTACAACTTTTAAGAAGTGTGTAGTGTTTTAACTCTTTTTAATGTATTTAAAATTTTTCAGTATATTCTCTAATTTTATATTTCTTTTCTTTAAAACCAGGCCGTGGATATATATGATCCCAACCCGATACTAATGCTCATGCTTTGCATTTACATGTATGAAAGACTCCCAACATACCTTCCCCAGAAAGTTGTGCCATTTTCTTGTAGTCTTCATGAAAGTGCGGTCACACAGGTATGAAAACTTTTAGCTCCAACATACATGTGGAGTTAAGCACTTAATGAAGTGTTTTACATATGTCTTTCATAACTCAAAATTGAGGGACCCATGTGGGCCCACCTGAAAGGTTGGTAGTTTAAGTTCACCCAAAGGCTTCTAGAAGAATGTCCTGGAAATCTCCTGAAAGTCATGGCCATTGAAAATCCCACGGAGCACACACATTTCTGCCCTGAAGCACATGGATCACACGTTACAGCAACTGAATTGGTTTGTCCTTTGAGCAGTATGATCAATACTTGTACGGCCACAATAACTGATTCAACATGTCACTGATCTTGAGATGGCACAGGCAACATTTGTTCAGTTATACACAGCATTGCCATGCCAGCTCAAGGACAACTGAAAACAGCAGCAACAAGCAACTTATCTATCTAAGGAGCCTGGATGACACAGGTTAAATGCTGGCATGTTAATCACAAGGTCAGTGCCTTGAACAGTTACTCCGCGGTAGAATGATGTGGAAACCCTAGTGGACAAGTCTGCTACATGTTAAAAGGTGCTACATTTGATTAAACATTGACTTGATGGCAAACACACACACAGCACATATAAAGCCTGAATGTACATACATACATACATACATACATACATGCATACATACATGCATACATACGTACAATCATCTATGTATATATCTATTTATCCTTATAATGAGCCTTATCAAAGGTCTATAAAAGTGAAAGGAATGATAATTGCCTAATAACATCACCTGCAATGAAACAATTACTCCCTCCACATGCATGAAACTAATGGGAGTTGGCATGGTGGAGAATGAAAATGAAGCACTTTTGAAGGTCTGGTCCTCCAAGGCCTCTTGAGATCCATTTAATGCATGAGAGGAATGACACTCGAAGTGGAAATTTGTTGTCTGAATGTTCTCAGCTTTCCTTTAGTTAGCAGTTTGCTTGGCCAGATTTATTTAGTTCAAATGAGAATAAAGGGATGACATACTGAAATTGCTCCAAACCCCAAAACCCAAATCACTACCCTCAAAATTCCTACTCAGAGTGAGCGTATAGGACAGAATAGAACTTGCTCTATCATTCTGGAAGTAGACTAACGGCCACATCTTTCTGCTGCATTCTTTCTGGTGGTTTCTAACCACCGCTAGGTTAGCAGCCTAGCGCTTTGATCCTTGCGCCACCAGGCTCATCTAATTCCCACAAAATGTCTTTTATACTGAAGCTGTGAAATGTGTGACAGTGTGCTTCTTTAATTTTTAGAAAATTTGAAAATTAAATGTCTGAATCCTGTTCCAAATCACATCGAAACACAGCTATGTCTATGCTTGCAAGTTTTCTCTTTGGTGGTGAAATATGTTGTCAGAGTACATTGACTTCCGTTTGTTTTTTATACCATTTCTTTCCTATTGACACTTAGGAAATATGTTCTAGCGTACAATTCTAAATTGCTTCTATTTAGGCAAGACTGTTACTTCCATTAGTTTACATAGCTTTCTACTTTTTAATAGGTCTGTCCATGGTTCTCTCTCAGCGCACTATAAGGGGATCTATTAAAGTGTAATTTCTACTTTGGTCAGATTATGTGTAGTCTTTTTCTTCAGGTTGTTGTTATATAGTCTATACTTTTTGAGGGGGAGCATGTTTGTTTTCAGTGTGAAGCTTGTCCATATTCTTCAAAAATTATGTTCTGAAGATCAATGGTAATCATGACCTCTTTGAGAAAATAATTGTCCAGCTTCAGTAACAGCTTGCCTAATGGTGGATAAAAATTTAGTTACACGTTGGGAAAAAAAACTCAACTTTCTTGTCCAAAAATATAAAGAGAGCTCATTTTCTAGAAAGGAAAGCACCTGCATTATGGTTTGTTTATTGGTTAGTTATCCGTTATATTTAGGATTTTATCTTTTCATTTTTGTTAGTAAAATACTTTCCGAGGACTTTTTCGCCAGTGTTTATTTTAGGATCTTTCCCTGACTGCAATGACATGCAAGAGTACTAGATGCGAACTAACTAGCCTCAAGCGGTAGCTACACTGCAGAGAACTTTTGATACGAACATTTCAGAAGGGTTAGAAGTGTTCTGTTTAAGCCTGGCAGCTCATAAAAGGAGTTTGAATTAGATTAAAGCCACTCTGGCCACTGAGTTGATTCTGATTCATGGTGACCCTATAGGTTAGGGTAAAACTGTGAATAGTCTTGCTGGGAGCAGACAGCTTCATCTTTCTCTCTCAGAGTGGCTGGTGTGTTTATAGTGCCAACCTTGTGATTAGCAAGCCCATTGCACCAGCAAGACACATTTAAATTAGATTAACCTGTCATTACTTGAGTATTAAGTATTGTCAGTTCTTTAATGTTGGCCCTAAGTGGTTTGCTGTGGACTAGTAACCGATTGGCAGTTTGAATCCACCCACCATGGCCACGGAAGAAATGTTTGGTAATTTGCTCCTATAACATTAAAACCTAAGGAAAACAAGCCCATTGAGTCAGAAGACTCATAGACAAAATCATAATGACTTTATAGTACAGAGTACAACTGTCTCCAGAGAGTTTCCAAGGCTACAAATATTATAAATATTACAAAAGGATATCACCTCATTTTTCACCCACAAAGTGGCTGCTGGTTTTGAACCACTAACCTCAGATAAACCTACCTGAGACTTAAAGCCTCCCTGTCTCTTATGGAGCAATGGAGTTCCTTGCTGATAAAAAGGGTTAATGTGTTCAGTTGCTAACTAATGGTTGGAGATCCCAGTTCACCCAGAGGTACATTAGAAGAAATGCCTGGCAATCTCCTTCCAAAATATCAGCCATTGTCAGCTGTTGCCAGCCTAGTTTACGCTGACACACATGGAACCACTGTGAAGCTAAATGAACTCAACAGTTACTAGTTTTGTTTGTTGTTTTTCTTCTCAATGAACACCAGAGGAACATAGATAGATAAAGAAATTCAAAGAAAAATATTTTTTAAAAAGCCTTAAGGTTATCTTGCTTTGGTTTTAATAAATATCTATGTATAGATGACCAGCCTGAGGGTTCTCATAGTTACTAAAATTGCCATTCAACTATGAAAGTAGTTCATTTTGTCTCCCTATACATCTCCACCATATTGCCCATGAGTCCTTATCATCAGATATAGTACTCGCCTTTTCAGCATCACATAGCCATCACTATAGTTTCTATGTTTTCCCCATTCCAGGAGCCTTTACTTCACTCTAAATCATGCAATCTTTCCTATTGCGTTAGGTGTCTCTCTCTCTCTCTCTCTCTCTCCCTCTCCCTCTCCCTCTCCACTATATTCTCCATAAGCACCTGTACTCTCAAAAATTTCAAGAAATGCTCTTTCTAGTATTATCAGTTCATTCTCTAGTACTCTCTATTCCTCTGCATCAACATGAAAGAAGAACGGGACAATCTTCCCTTAGCAAAATGACTGTTTCGGGACCTGACCACCAGCATCTCCAGCAATGATCTCTGGTTTATGTACAAATTTAACCCATACGCATTATAATACCCTTTCCACAGAACAGCTAGAGTAGGATCCTTTCTTTAAATTGGATTATATCAGTCCTCTATTTAAAACCCTCTCATTGTTTCCCTTTGCCTGAAGAATCAAATCCAAATTGTTAATTTGGGTCTTTCAAACCTTTGATGGTCGTGTGTTTTTTCACCTGACAGACCCTTGTGGGAAACTATTTTTGCTAAAAGTTAGAATTGTTGTACTGATATGCTTTATGTATTCATCATCTCATTTTATACTTCATTCCGTAGATTCTACTGAAAAATACAAGCACAAAAATCTTGGTTTACAGTGCTTTAATAGTTGGAAGAGATGCTTCAGACTTCTCACTCATAGAAACAGGGAATATTGTGACAATTTCTCCAAAGTGAGTGCCTTCTTTTTTTTAATTTTTAATTTTAACTTTATGGAACATTTCAACCATGGAAATGCAATGTCGGTTATGCCTATAAAAAAGTAATCTGAATATTTTAAACTAATATAAAATGAAAAGCCTACCATTTTGATATAGGTATTCATGTTTTTCCAGTTACTCCACCAGTTATATTGAAGCAATTCTAATAATACCAACTGCTTTTTATGTACAAAATTAATGTTCATTTATTTACATGCATGTAGGCAATAGAGATTAAAAATGAGTTATTAGTTTATCTACTATAGTTAAGTTTCCAGCAGTAAATTGCAAGTTTGTATTTTCGTTTTATATACACACATACACTTACACACACAAATGAGGTGAGTCAAAAGTATTGCTACTAGTATGATAGTTCATATATAACTTAGTGACCCTTTAGGGGTAGACCTACCCCGGTGGGTTTCCGAGATGGTAACTGTTTACAGCAGAAGAAAGCCTTCTATTTCTCCCTTAGAGCAGCTGGTGGTTTCCAACTGCTGACTTTATGGTTTGCAGTGCACTGCACCGTGGGTTTATCTTAAAAATGTGTGTTGAAACAAGTTGCTGCAATCAGTGAATGGCTGAAGATAAGTTCTCTCCTTCTAAGTAGGGGACTGCTCTTAGTCGCCCTAGGGTGCTTTCAAAACAGTTCAATCAAAACAATGGACAAAATAACAATAATTTATGAATTATGAAGGGTTCATGAGGGAGAGGGGAGTGGGGAGGGAGGGGGGAAAATGAGGAGCTGATAGTAAGGGCTCAATTAGAAAGCGCATGTTTTGAGAATGATGATGGCAATAAATGTACAAATGTGCTTGACACAATGGATGTATGTATGGATTGTGAGAAGAATTGTACGAACCCCCAATAAAATGATTTAAAAACAAACAACAACCAAAAAAACCCCAGTGTTATCTAAGGGGAGGTGCTGAGCCAGTGAAATTTAAAGCTAAGAGGTCAGTTTGGAAGTTCAGGAGGACTGTTTGGCAGGGGGTGGGGGTGGGGTTACTAAGGAGTAGAGGAGCCCTAGTGGAATAGTGAGGTTATGAGTTGGGCTGCTGACTGATAGGTCAGTAGTTTGAGACCACCAGCAGCTGCTGCACAAGAGAAGGAGAAAGCTTTCTTCTCCCATAAAGGTTTACAATCTCGAAAACCCACAGGGACACTTCTACTTTGCCTTATGGGGTCATTAGGAGTCAGATTGACTTGACAGCAATGACAGAGATTAAAGGGCACTCTTGAAAGATTTTCTTGAGGATGCACGGCAACATGGGTGCTTATTAGGAAGAAGTTTTAAGAAAATTGAAAACTGCTTTGGTGAGCAGAAGGCCAGGAACGTTGCACCAAGGAATTTTTCCATCATAGCAATGCACCTGCACTTGCCTTGAGGTTAGCAAGGGCTGCCCTCTGAGAGTTTCATTTGGAACCCTTGACAAATTCACCCTATGGCCTTAATCGTTCCCCTGCAGACTTCTTTTTGAAATAAATAAAACAAACCACCATTGAAAGGGGGTCTGCCTCTGAGTGTATAGACTTAGAAAAAGGATATACCTGAGAACAGTAGCTTCACATTTTAATATTTTTGATAAGTTTCTATAATTATACACCAATACATTTGCTTTTACCATCTTGTGTTTGTGTGCCCACTATATGCCAGACAAGACATAACAACTTAGCAGTTGTTTTCATTGTAATGTACGCATAGAACTGGAGGAAGGAGGATAAGAAACTCCTTAAATAGTGAGAAAAACAGGGAAGGGCTCACAGAACAGACAGTGTTTAATTATAAATTTATTTAGAAAACAATTACTCACTTTTCCATATGCGTTCTCTTTTAAATTTTGAGTACTATTATTAGGCAATTTTTAAGTGTCTTTATCTAAGCTAATTTCACTTTGTTTGGTGATTACAAATAGAACTTGGGAAATATTTTGTCTTGTGTAACAATAACAACAAAGCAACATTGACCTTTATCAGATATTGTATAATTACCTACCTGTGTGTACCACAAAGGAGTCCTGGTGTTGTAGAGGCTTATGTGTTGGACTGCTAACAGAAAGTTCAGGAGTCCAACCCCACAAGCTGCTCTCTAGGAAGCAGAGGAGGTTTTTCTATTCCTCTAAAGATTTACACTCTCAGAAACCCACAGGGGTGGTTCTACTTTGTCCTAAATGGTTGCTGTGAGTCGGAATTGGTTTGATGGCAATGAGTTTGGTTGTTTTTTATGTCTACCACATCCTGTCTTAGATTTTGTCTAAATCACAATTAAAGAGGCTCATTCTGCCAGCTGTGAATTTAAGATCCCAGAGATATCATTTAAATTAAAGTGCCACCTCAGCTTATAAATAAGAATATTTATGTTTGCATCTAGCTTGATGCCTAAATTTAACTTACATTCTAAAAGTGGAAGTATTCCTATAACAAACCTTTCTTTTTTTCTTATTATTCTCATTGATCCATATGAGCACGGACACGACTATATATTTATTCTCTGGAATTTCTGACGGCTAATACAAAGCCACTTACAGAGTGCATATAATAACTATCAAATATTTTATTAATAAGGTAGAGGCATTTGTGTTGCAGAAGTTGTGCGTTAGCATAGTATGTGTACATTTGGAAGTTAGCTTTCTATTTTAAAGGTAGGATCATGATGTCTTGTCTTAACTGGTGAAGATAACTAGAATACAGGTGTCCTAGAAATGCACACAAAACTTTATTTTTATGTTTTAGATGTGAATAAATTATATGATGCAAGCACTGGGCACATGGTCTATAATTAACATGCTTGTGGAGTGTATTTTTAAAATTAAGTATGTTGCATTTTGTTTTTTCTCAAATAGGAACCAAATTAATATTGCTATAAAATTTACTAGCCGATTTATTCACCCTGCTGAAGCTTCTTTGATATTGATCTCAAAACCCAAGGATACAGTTGCAGGTGCAACCTTATGTTTTGGTCTCAGAGGTGACATTCTCAATTTTAAAGACGCTGTAAGTAAAATTTACCTCATTGTATGGAATTTTTGTTCATCTCAAGCCATATTCTGTCCTAAACTCAGTCACTGTCTACATTTTTTTCTGTCTTCCTGAAATCATGTGTGTCAGTAGAAAGCACCAAACTAATTCCTACTGCCTTGGAATTTATTTTGACCCCCAACCCACTGCTTCAAGTTGATTGTCACTCATCACCCTATTGGGTAGAGTAGAGTTGCTCCATAGGGTTTCTAAGACCAAATATGAGAACAGAAAACCTCAACTTTCTCCCCTGGAGTGGCTAATGGGTTTGAATTACCAATATCACTGTTGGAAATCCGTATAAAATAATGGTCCTTTTATTATGGCTGGCTTTTTTGTAGATCTTATGGTATCAAGAGGTTTTTTTCTACCATGAATATGATAGGCAGGGACAAGAGTGAAGCACACCAAAAGAATGATGCTGGGAGAGTTGAATGGTGCCAGAAGTGAGGGAAGAATATTATAATGCTCACATCAACAAAAGGGCTAATTCGATAATGAGACCCAGGACAGAAGTGGGAATGCCTTGTGTGTTGTCATCCTCAGATTATCTGGGGGAATAATTTGGGTGAAAAGTTTGAGAAATTTGAATGGTCATTAATGCTTACATTTATTAATTTTCTCACACACATGCGTTCAAATAAGACACAATTTTGCTGCATCTAGCAAAGAGAGCTACTGAAGGAAATCAGTTTGAAAGAAAAAAAATTGAACAAGTAGTTGAGTTGTTAAGCACCTTACTTTGGAGAAGTGATCAGGTAAAACATATTTTTATCTTTTCCCACCGAGATTTTAATGAGCCCTGGTGGCTCTATGGGCTAGGATTTGGGCTGCTACCTCAAGGTAAGCTGTTCAAACTCACCAGCTAAAAAATAAAATAAAATAAACCACCAGCTGCTTCTTGGGATAATAATAATGCTGTTTGCTCCCATAGACATTTACAATCTCATAAACCCTATGTAGGATGGTTATGAGTTGGAATCAACTTACTAGGTTTGTTTTTTACTTACCCAGGTTTTAGCAGTATAATATATTTGAGAAAGAGGGAATTATTTAAATAAATGTTAGCATACTATCTAAATAGAAATTCTACTTTTTAAAGTTTATATTATACCTCAGAATATTAATTTTTATTACTGTGATTTATTTTTTTTAGGAAACTATAAAATGTAGCAGTCCATGTTATCATTGGAAAGAAATCGTTTTACATGTTAAAAACCCCTTCGAAACTGAAGGAGTTTTCAAGTAAGTGAATATTTAGGTGTTAATTTTCCCCATCCAGTCAATATAAATATGCAAATTTCTTCATATGGCATGTATTTATATTCTTAAAAACATACGAACATCATCATATTAAAATGAGCAAATAATGATCATAAAATAATTTTCCTGGAAATGCTGTTTGATCTAACTAAATCAGATGTATTTCATCAGATTTCTAAGTTTGCCTTTCAGCTGTTTACAAAATTTAGTGCTCTTTAATTACTTTAAGTTTACAGTATCTTTTATTATATCTAACTTTATTCCATCTGTTAAAAACGAAAACTGAACTTTCAAAAATAATTTTATTGAGATATAAGTAATGTATGTTACCATTCAATAGCCCTATTATATTAAGAAGGCTTGTGCAATCATCACCATTATCAACTTTGGAACATTTTTTTTCTTGTATTATCCATTGCTTTGACTCTCCATTTCATCCAATCTCCCTTTCCATAACCCAGGTAATTTTTAATAATGTTAACAGCCTTCATAGCTCCACACATCCTGGCTTCCCTATAGAGACCAAAGAAAACAAAAACAAGAAAGGACCTAGCAACAATAACCAAATAACACAGCGAAAAACTTCAATTGAAAAAAAATCAGAGAATATTTTAAAAATTAGAATATTTTCAAAATGGATCAAAGGGGAGATCTAATGATAAGATGTTACATTCCAGCCTAACTATAGCTGCTAAAATCCACTTTACAGTGCTCTTTGTCTGATATTAAGACTATTCACATTCTTAGACTATCGTCAATGGGGAGTCACTGAGACTCAATCCATGTAGGGACCCTGCAAATGGATTTGGAGCTTCCACTTTTATCCATAACATTCTGAAACCTAGGTGTTTAGGACTTGGGCTCTGGTACCATCCCCTCCTCTGGGTTTGGATTTTATTATTTACAGTCCTGAATCACATAGGCTAGTGTGCGTCTTCTGTGTGGATTTCGCCGATTCCATGGTTAGATGACTGCTTGTTTTAAGACAGACTGCTTGTTTTAAGACCACGGATGGTTTATTTCTGATAGCCAGACACCATCTGATTTCTTCACCACACTTTGCTATAGCACCCATATCTTCAGTGATCTCATGAGGCTGAGTACCTCACCTTTGTACTTATGTTTGAACCCATTGTTGCAGTTAAATCCCTGGGTAAAGCAAAGGGTTTAGTTCTCAAATTGCTAACAGAACGGTTAGAAGTTTAAACCTACTAAGTAGCACACACAAGAAACTTGTGGCTATGTAATAGTACTCTGTAGCACATAGGATGTCCTTGAGTACGAACTGAATTAAAGATGTTGAGTTTTAACAGATTCACTTCTGCAGTTTCAAGTAGATGTTCCTCCATGGCTCTTTATGACCTCTTATTCTACTGCAATATTGTCACTTCCACATTATCCACCCCACCCCCCAAAAAAAACAAACCTAGGACAAGGATGTTAGCATATTCATATCTGTATTTTACATCAGGTAAATGAATCTCTGCAACTTTTGAATGAATGAACATTGTCTGAGAAGAGGGACCACAATGCCCTCTGGTTCCAGAAGATGGCACAATTATGAATGCACTGGTTAACAAGCTATCCAAATTTCATGGCTGATCTAACGATTTCTCTCTTTTGGAAGTAGGATTAAACAGTATGAAATGCAACTAGCCCCAGCAGTGCATTAGACCTGGGCATGATTTCCCCCGAGTCTCTGGAATATGATTAGGCGAGGCATTTCAGTTCTAAATTACCTACTATGAGAATTCAGTGTTATCGTTGCATAGAAAATAATGATACACTTCACCTATATCGAGGCATTTCTCTTCTTTCTAACATTTTTTTCCAGTGTGAGAATGAGGACAATTGGACATCTCAAAAGGCATAAGTGATTCTGGCTTTTTTATGAACAACGGGAAATGTTTTTAAAGTAAGAATGTTAACATCATAATTTTGATAAAATTCTAATGAATTCTTATTTGTTTATTTCAGTGTTATATTAGTGGAGTCTTCAACATTTGTAACTGCACCGTCACGCTTAAATGAGTCTGGACAATTGACTAACCGCATGAGCCAGGGGTAAATATTTATTTATTTATTTATTTTTATGCTTCCAATTATCCGAGAAGTTCTACAAAACTATGTACTGCATCTTACCATAATGATTTTCATTTATTCGGAATGTTTTAGTTATATTATTCACACTCTTATTCAAATAAATACATGTTTCTGTGTTATTATTAGGTCCATGTGCATGTAAATGGAATCAATATCCATTTGATAAAATATTTAATCTTATTTCATCTACTATGTGCTTCTGAATAGAGAAGCAAAAAATGTTTATGTCACATAACTTTGTATTTCTCATATATGTAGAATAGCTCCTTAGGGTGAAGGATTTTAGGAAACATTACCAAAGACAAAGGAAGTCAAGCAGAGAGGAAATCATATAAGCATTTATTAATAAAATGTCTGCATATGTTGACCATTATGTCTATGTTTAGCTTATACATCTCTTTGCCTCCTGCCTAAGACATGATCAGTGTCACACTTTCATATGTAAAAAATATCTCAGCAGGCAGTGACTGGGGAATTTTCATATCATTGTTATCCTCAATAAGTAAGGAACCATTAGGGCCTTATCTTGTTAAGATTAAAATATGTATATTTTCCAAAGTGACTGGTATTCAAGTCAATATTTTGAGGAATGTAGAAAGATTGTCTCTATTGGTTGTTGAATTAGAAAAGTTGTTAAAGAAGATAACCATTTTGTTTCACTGTTTTTTTTTTAATTAATTAATTAATTTGTTTATTTGACTTTTTTTAACATTTTATTAGGGGCTCATACAACTGTTATCCCAATCCATACACACATCAATTGTGTTTCACTGTTTTTTTTATCAAATATTCATTTCATGCTTAAGTAGGACATTGAAGGCACTGCTTTCACATTTAGCTATAATGAACAAAAAACATAAGTGAACCCATGGAGGTATAAATTGGCACTACACGTGTAGATCACACAAAAATAAGAAATTTTAGCTAGTTTATGTTAATTTCATTGTAGATAGGAAATGCTAGTATTGCTAGCCACTTCAATAAGCAATTCTTAGAGATTTTTTATCTTTTTTCATTCTCAAAAGACTGCTTAACTAAAGTGGCTGCTTTGTGACCCTTGATTTTATGTTAATGACCTTGAAAGAATTCCTCACATTAAATGTTAATAATTTATAGTATTATGTATTGAAAATATGTAACGCCTCAGAGAAATGTTGTAGGTATCTGTCAGACTAAGTAACAAAATATTGAATCAGTTTAATGAACAGCAAAATTGAGTTTACTTTCATGATTTGGGATGCAATATAGAAATTCTATATCACACATTCTGACAGGTATTTCATTATATAATAGTTTAGAATGAATTTGATTATATCCAGAGCTCAAGATTTCTTGTAATCATAGACTTGAAAGCTATACATAAAAGCATCTTCCCTTTTATGGTATGCTTACCAAAAGAAAAACAAAACACACAAGTAATAAGATCTTTTTAAATCTAATTATGCCATAAAATAATGCCTTGAAGTCTTCATCCAAAATAATTACCACCTTACCATGAAGTGCAGCTTACGAAGGGTGTCTAACCTGGTCTCAAACATGCAGTCGTTTACATTTATATTTATAGTACTGTAATTTCTTAGTTCTTCTCTCAAGCTGCTGAATGTCAAGATAGGATCCATCTAATACAGATTAGCTCTCAAATAGTACTGCCATTCCTTAAATTATAGGGAATTTATTCATATAGATGATAAGTTTTTTTTAAGAAACAACGAAACACATCATGAAAGAGCTAGTCTACCATAATTTTATTGGGAAACCTCACCCAATTTGATGGCACAGAACACCAATTATTTAAGCTACCCACCCAATTGCCTATGAATAAAAGAAAATTAAATACCATTCCCACTGCCATCAAGTTGATTCCAATTCATAGCAACCCATTCGAGGATTTTCCCAGACTGTAAATCTTTAAGGGAGCAGACAGCATCATCTTTCCCCCAGGGAGAACAACTGGTGGGCTTGAATCGCTGACCTCCCAGTTAGCAATCCAATGTCTACCTGGTAGTAAAAATACAGTAGAGAATAATTACTATATTGGGTGCATACCCTCATTAAAAATATGTTATAGGGAAATGAGTCTTATAAATAAAAATCAAATGTAGAAAAGGAGATGATATGGTGCAAAGAATGAGTTCAGTTTTACAATATCAATTTCAGGCAAAAGTGCATGACCGTGTGTCAATCTAGAGTTATTGTGTTTTCAGAAAATGTGTGAGTTAAACAGTATCTAAGTAGTCAAATGCTACTCTGCAACTTGCTGAGCAAAGTGATCAGAATACTAAGAGTATGGAATTTTGGCAAAACTTGTTGGGTTTTGGAAAATACAGGACCTTTTAAAAAAGAAAGTTGTTGCAGACTATGATATGTTAATTTTGAGAAATACAACCAGAGATTATACAACTCCTCAAGTCTTTTTCTATCCTTATGAGAAAGAAGCAAAAGTGAAATAAGTGAGCTGAAAGAAAATAAAATATTTGAAGAGAATTAATAATTATGTATAGAATCACTTGGGTAGAAAGTTCCTATTTAGCACTAAACTGAAACTGCTTACTTTTTTGAATTTTTGGATTTGGATTATTATTGTTATTATCATCATTATCAAATTTGTACTTCTTTTCAGACGTTGAAAAAATAGTGCAACATTAAAAAATGATAGAAATATGGATAAATTCATTTATTACATTTGCATTTTTCTTTTTTAACTTTCTAAAAGAATATAAGCCTGCAACGATATCTTAAATACATTGGGATCTCGCATAGCAGAAAGTGGGTAGTCATAAGTAGTCATGTGCATAACCTTTATAATGATAATTGTGTTTGAGTTATGTTTGTGGTGTTGATTTTGTTTTCCTATTGTGACAGGGATGCTGGAAGAACTAGTGAATATAGAAGTTCTGAATGTTTACATAATCCCCAACATACCTTAAAAACCTGTAAGTCACCCCAAAAGAAACATTTCTTTGATTTTAAGTGTGACTTTTATGTTCAGGGGATAACATGAAATAGGCAACAGTGGATGTGTTGTGAGACAGTCAAAATGGCACCCTATGGGGATTGCTAACCGGGGAGGAGGCTGAAGTGCTGATTTCTAGAGTCTTCTGCTTCTGCCCCTTTGGAGACTTTTGCCCATATCTTCTCTCTTACTGCTAACTTTTCTTTCCTTGCCAGAACAATGAATACATTTGGTTACATGGCTTTTAGGCCTCTTTTAGCTCCTTCTGAACGATTTGTATCTATATAGGGGACATCATCACCAAGATTAGAGTAGTGAAAACAGAAAATATTTGAAACGATGTCTAGAACTATGGAAAAAGGAATGTTCTGATTATCTATAACTGCAGAACAAACAACAACAGATGTACTGCCACACAAATACTATATTATTTTGGAACATTATCCTCCACATTTCTGGAATGACTGGGCTCAGCTAAATGACTCTTGCACAGGGCCTCTCATGCTGTTACACTCAGATGGTGGCTGCTGCTTCAGTCATCCCAAAGGCTTCCTCACTAGTCTGATGGTTAGGGCTGCCTGTTGGCTCAGACCTTAGCTGCAGTTGTTGACTTGAATATTTCCGCATGGCCTCTCCATGTAGCCTGAGCTTCTTCACAGAATGGAAGCTGTGCTCTAAAGGCAGTGAGCCCCAGGGGGAGAGAACCCAGTCAGTGTTCTTTTACATTTCCTGATCTAGTGTCAGAAGTCACATCACACCACTTCTATGTTCTAGCATTTTATGGGTTAGAATCAAATCGAAGACGATCCATGGTCAAGGCAGTATTAATTAATTTGTGAGTACTTAAAAAAAACATTAAAAGGTGCATGTATGTGTGTTAAGAATAAAAAAAACCCTGTACTGCTATTCAAGTTACCCATTTCATTCTGTAATATGAACTGTGCACTGCAGAGTCTACATTACATCCTTGGAGATTTATGGGTGGCTTTTTTGCCATACATCTAGATAAATTTCAACCAGTTGTGATTTTCACTTTTGATGAAATTGTTTATTCAGAAATGTTTAGTAGAGGATAATAATTGCAGTTTTCCTTCTTTCAAACCTGAGTTTTGGTCACCTGTAGTTTCATTGACAAATGGATTGTCTTCTAATCTGGAACATGTATGCTTTGAAAATTTTAAATTGATCCTAAAAATCATTAGTTGAAACAGCTATTTTATTTAAACAGCACGTATGAAATGATCTATATCATGTTCTTTTTTTTATGTTTGGACAGCAATTAGATCCACCTTTATAAAAGAATTCTTTTGCTCCAGTCGTACTCTTGAACTGCAAGAGAAAGAATGCACAACACTAGAATTCTTTTTTCTTCCTTTTGACATCCACGTGCGCTATTGTGTCATCATCTTGAGCAACGCAAAGGTGAGACCAGAATTGTGATCTGTGCTATTAGCATAAATTTTAATCGAATAACAAGGGTCACCTTGAAGGCAGCTGGAGGTCTTGAGACATTAGACCTAAAATTCTAGGGCAGATAAAGAAAAGCAACGAAAACCATATTTTTAGAACCCAAACTAGCCCTCTTTTATAGACAAATTTTCCTAAGACCCGTCAATTCACCATCAAGATGGTCTCCCTAAAATTCCTAATTTGTCACCTACAGTGGTTAATAGCTGGTGACAAATATTTACTGATCACCTACTATATCCCAGGCATTGTGTGGCTCTCCAGAAGTATAGATAATGTCAGTCTTTAAAGTTGCTAGGCAAGGAACTTATTCTGAAGGACAAACAAATGTGTGAAAATTCTAATTGACTTCCTGGAGAAAAGCCCCACGAGGAACAGATTGGAAGTGTGCCTATTGTGTCCCTTACGTGTGTGAAAAAATTACCACAAACATATTAGCTTAAAATAACACACACCTACTATGTTTATTTCTGTGGGTCAGGATTCTAGAAATGACTTAAATGGACCTTCTTGTTCAGGGGGCAAGTGTTCAGAGAACATTCACAGCAGGGTTTTCCTCAGAGGCCCCACTGAGGAATGATCTGCTTCTAGGCTTCTGAGGTTGTTGGAAGAATGCATTTTCTATGGTTGTGAGATTTATGGAGCTTCCATTTTCAAAGAAAGTTAAAAGACACTACGTGCAGCATGAAGGTTTCATAGCATTACCCTCTTCCAGACACTGCCATCCGTGGACCTAAGAAAGCAAATGATAGCCCCCAGGAGAGAGCTCAGGATTTATCAATGTGTTCCACATACTGAACCCATATGCAATGAAATAAGGGTTATTGAAAAGAGTACAGCCTGGGAAATTCACAGGGGCAGTTCTACCCTGTCCTTTATGCTCTCTATAAGTTAGCTTTGACTTGGTGACAGTGAGTTTAGTATTGGTTTTGGTTTAGTTCTGTAGACTCTAGTGCTGCTATGAGTTCTGGGGTTTGGGAGTTTTTATAGAGCCCTAATTAAATACTTGGCTGCTAACAAAAAGGCTGGTGCTTCCCACCCACCAAGCTCCTCTATTGGAGAAATATGCAGCGGTTTCCTCCTGTAAAAATTTACCGCTTTAGAAACCAAACGCGATAGAGTCACTTCTGTGATACCTGGTAGAGTCCCTTTGGATGGACTTGATAACAATGTGGATTTGCTTTGTTTGGCTTTTTGAAGAAAATATTTCTATAGGATCATTTGCACATGAAAATGTAGTTTAATAAATGCAAAGCAGTTGAATTTTGCCTTTAAAATGACCAATTAGTAGGAAAATGCTGTCTTATAGTGACATTATTACTTTTTCCATTAAATGATTTATTTTAACTGAAGTCTTACTCATCAAAGTTCATGAAAAATAGGAACTACATTGACCGATAGTTTGATCAAATGTGTCACAATTGCTTTCATATATTAATTTAAAATATAATCCTAAAAGTGTTAAGCTTAATTCTCAGCATAGTAAGTAAATTAAGTCTATGCTTTGAATTAAGGTATTGGTGATTAACATTTGCATCAATAAATGTGTGCCAATTAATCAAAACATAATCATACTTAAGTTGGCACCTCAATTTATTCAAACATGATATTTTATTGCATGTACTTTGTCCTGGTCAGAGATAATACTAAAATAAAACAACATTCATGAAATTACATTGCTGTCACATGAAGAATAACACTCTCAATCTTAAAGATTGCATTGAATTATAATTACTTATATGGGGAAGGACATCTCTTAATTTACATAGTCAATTATATTGCCAATTATATTGAAAATGCAATTGCACGCTTAAATAGATAATCAAATATCCAAGTCCACCTAGTGGTCTAAGGCACTTAGCTTCATGGCAATCCTATATGTATCTGAGTAGAATTGTGTTCCATAGGGACTACAGTGGTTGTCCTGGTGGTATAGTGGGTTACTTTGATGAGACTTTCTATTCCTGTAAAGCTTTACAGCTTCAGAAACCCACAGAGGCAGTTCTCTGACTTATAGGGTCGGTAAGAATCTACATGATGGCAGTGGTAATCTTTCTGAAGGTGATCACCAGGTCTTTTTTCCAAGGCATCTCCAAGGAACTTGAAACTTCAACTTTTGGCAACCTAGCACATTAACCATTCGTACCACACAGCAACTCTGCAAGAGGCCTTAAGTTCCTAAGATGGTATCTCATTTAATCACCACAGCACCCCATCCTAATTTTCCATCTTAAAGATAGAGTGATAAAACAAAATCGTTTATTATGTAAAATATATACAAAGATGGAGATAAGACTATAAGAAGTCTTCATGGGTGCCACCTATCCTGCTTCAACAATTATTAATACATGGCCAGATTTTTTTCATGTTTCTTTTAAAGCAAATCCCAATCATGATCTAATTTTAACTGTAAATACTTGTATGAAAGAAAGTTCTTTTCCTTGCTTATTTGATTATTTCAAACTAAATATTTCAAAGATACCTGTAGTAAGGAGCAACTGCAATCAAGATCTCCCTCGGATATTTTGAATCAACCCATTGAATGCAGAGTTTTCCCCACACAGCGGTAGATCTATATAGTATGCTTAACAACTCTCCACTCATTCAAAATCTAGGTTGCTTTATAAATGTAAAAGGCCTGGATGTCCTGTTAGTATGCTGATTCATCCCAGGAAACAATTTTGTTCTGCTTCTAATATTTAAAAAGATGGTTTTTTTAAATTAAAGTTTATCACAATTTTTCTGAGCTTTGAAAATTTAACATGATTATGTGGTTGTGCTTTTTAGATTGGTGAACTACTCTACATTGTTGAAGGACAAGGTTTGATGCCTTTGCCATCCAGGTTTTTCCCAGTGAATTGTCCGACTCCAATAGACTACAGTGAAACTCCAGAAGAAGGTAGAGTATAAGTTTATTTTATTTCACTTCTAACTCTAAAGGTTGGAACTACTTATCATATGATATCCTAACCAAATTCATTGCTAGCTTTTCCTGTATTTAATTCCATTTTAGAAGGCTCCGTTTTAACCTCATCCTATTAGCTTCCGTGTAATAGAGTACCACTTTATCAATTAAAGAAAAATGCGTATAGTAATTATTTTTTCAAAGCTTTCTTTTTAAATCTTGTGATAAATACTCAAATTTGACATGCAAAATATTTTCTAACAAAACTTTCCAGTTTTAAAATAATTTAGGTTTGACTATACACACTTTGCCAACTTTCTGGTTCCTTAACCACTGACCCATCAAGAAAGTAGCTTTAAGCAGAAGATTCTTAGTGGGTAGGGGGAGTGCCAGGTCTTGCCTAGCCTTGTATTAATGTCTTTCCATGTATCTTTCCATGTATCTCTACTTCTCCTGACTTCGGATCTTGGAATACAGCACGATATTGATTGACCTTTTTGAGCATGCTTATGATATGGCTCGGAGAGAACCATTTTTCTAGAATGCTTCCTAGAGAATAGCAACAAAATGGGCCTCTCCTAATTTCTAGAAATTTTTTTTGAGCCACTGGAATTAAATTACTACAAATATGTTGTTCGTTTGTATTTGCTTTGTTTATTAAAGGTCATAACTACAGTTTTACATTTCAGACTTCCCAGGTCCGTGTTGGGCAACAATATGGAAGGAAGGTGGCTAACTATCTCGAGGGCTTAAATGTTCATTTCTTTCACCAGTATTTTTGTTTTCTCTAGTGCATAGTAAGGAAGAACCAGTTTTGTATTTGAACTGCAATCCTTTTCAAGTTGTGGATACGGAGCTTAAATTGCCATTGGCTAATGAAGCCAGAGAAAAGGCTTTGGTTTTTGCCGCACAACAACAAATGTCAGAGCTTGAGTATGATCGAAGGACAATCACGGGCACTCTGCAGAGCAGCAGTGTTCGAGTGGCCGTCGCCATCCTGGGACTGACTATGATTGAGGTACATGTTTTAACAATACAGTTACCGATTAAGTAGCAAAAGCTCTATATAATTTTTGAAAGAAAGTGATTTGATATGACAAAATAATAATAATAATTTATAAATTATCAAGGGCTCATGAGGGAGAGGGGAGGGGGGAGGGGGGAAAAAGGAGGAGCTGATGCCAAGGGCTCAAGCAGAAAGCACATGTTGTGAGAATGACGATGGCAACAAATGTACAAATGTGCTTGATACAACGGATATATGTTTGGATTGTGATAAGAGTTGCATGAGCCCCCGTTAAAATGATTTAAAAAAAAAAAAAAAAGAAAGTGATTTTACATGAGTCATCTGCCCTCTATTGCTACCTCAATCATAGTGCTGGACTTTTCTTTTTTACTTTTTCCCTCCAGAACACATGGAAAAAGTATTTTTTTAACTTTATTGAATTGAAAAATGGAAGCCAAACTGTCTAGTGTGTGATTTTGTGTACTACAGTATACTATGGTCATTAAATAGTTTTCAGTTCTAGCTACACATTAGAATGACCTGCAGAACTGTTAAATAGGCCAATGTCCAACTCCCTCTCCAGAATAATTAAAACAGATCTCTTAAAGGAGTGGGCGTAGGTGAGGTCATATTTTAAAAGTTGTCCATCTTCTCCTGGAAAGAGCTTCTCTAGGTTCAGATTATTAGGCTGAGAACCCAGACTCTAACCTGTCTAACTGTGCATCTGTGGGTGGGTTACTCAAAACTTTAAGATTTGACTTTTACATTTGTAATATGGAGAAATTGGTCATCTTATAATAATTACGTGAGAATTATGTCAAGTTCTCAGCATATTATCTGATATATGTATATGCATATTACTGTTTCTGTTATCATTATGCCTATAGACTTTAGTATTACCATGTTGTTGTTCTTAGGTGCCTTTGAGTCAATTTGTACTCATAGCAACCCCATGTACAGTAGACAGAAACACCGCCCTGTCCTCATGCCTGTTCTCATGCTTGAGCCCATTGTTGAAGTCATTGTGTCAACCATCTTATCGAGGGACTTCCTCTTTTCTGCTGCCCCTCTACTTTACTAAGCATAATGCACTTTCCCATATAACCCACCCATATACACATATAAAGCACATGGCGCACAGTGGCATCTAAGGCTTGAAGGGTTGGGCCATTGGAAAAAAACAGTAATAATGTGCGTGTTATTTGCATTAAAATGTGGTAAAAAATATGGTCATTGTGATCTCTGTTTTATATAACCTTATGTTTGAAATGTGATACAATCTTTTATGTATAAAGTAACTAGAATGTTTTTTCTAAAATGTAAGCCTGCACACATAGCCTCCCTTCAAGCACACCCATCGTCTTTGTCCTTTTATAGGGCTGCCTTTCTTTAACTTTATCACTTCAAATCTCTTCAGAAATGCTATCAGATTCTGCTTTACAGATATACATAGGAAGGGGCTTTTAAAAGTCTGTGGACAAATGGGATTAAAAAAATTAACACATTGCCACCCACTCATGGTGATCCAATACAGGGTTTCCACACTGTAAATCTTCCCAGGAGCAGGCAGCTTCATCTTTCTCCAGTGGATGGGCTGGCTGGAGGTTTGAATGGCTGACCCTGCAATTGCCAGTCCAGCTTACCAGTACAACCTTTACCCAATAGTTCCACTAGGGCTCCCATGGAATTTTCCCAAGAACTTTTTGATGTCCCCTCATTTATCCTCCCCTACTAAACAAAAGGTCAACAAAAGCCATCTGTTCCCCTAAAGACTGCAGTCTATGAAACCCTATGGACTGTTCTACTCTGTACTTTAAAGTTGCCAATAGAACCAACTGTATGGCGCACAGCAACAAAACCCTCCATTAAGCATTTTCCAAAACCTCAGCTGTCTCCAATTTTCTCTGTAGCTAGCACTTACCACCTGGAAGAAAACTCACTATTTATTTACTTAGTTTATGTCTATATTAAGGAAATATGTGCAAAGTTATTTATTTAGTTAACTTCTACATCACCCCAAAGCAAACCCTTTGCACCCCCAGTCTGTTCTCACTTATAGTAACCCTAAAGAACCAAACAGAACATCTCCACAGGGTTGCTAAGGCTGTAATCTTTAGAGAAACTACCACATCTTTCTTGGTGATTTCTAACAACCGGTGACTGCTTCAACCACTGTACCTCAGGTGCCAAGGAGCCCTGGTGGCACAATGGGTTAAGCTTTGGACTGCTAACCCCAGGGTTCGGGTTAAAATCCACCAGCCTCCCTGCTAGATAAAGATGAGGCTGTCTGCTTTAGTAGAGATTTATGGTCTCAGATACCCTAGGGAACAGTGTCCTGTAAGGTTATAGTAAGTTGAAGTCAACTTGATAGCAGTGGGTTATCCAACTTTCCAGAATTAACTTTTTTTTTTAAGATGATCTAGGTTTTTATGTTCTAAATGGCTCCAAAAAAATCAAGGCCCAAGATTCTGAAGCTCTCCTGACTGACATGCTTCTCAGAAAGTTGAGGTTTCTCTTCAGCCATGATCAACATGCTTAGTCCTCCTCCAGGACAGTGACTTTGGGAAGGCTTATGTTCAACTCTCAGAATACTCTTATAATGCTGATTTTCAATCAGTGGCCATTTATTTCCATCTTTCAACAACCTCGATCTCTCTCATTTTACCTTTGAAAATCAATGCCTTCATTCTCAACAAATTACCAAGAGATTTTATTTAAAGGGGGAACTTTAGTGAGATGAATTTTATTCATGGACTATGAAAAATGTCCAGTTAAACAGTGACATCGGAGGGGATCTGCTAGGCCAATTAAATTCAAAGCAAGAGAGGTCAGGTCAAAAAGGTCTTGGCCACTGTTTTCCAGGATCCTCAAGGGGTAATCTTGATAGCTTTTCTTAGATGACATAAGGCTCTCATGGGGGGAAGTTTTAAGAAAATGAAAAACTGCATTGGTGAGAAAAAGTGCAGGAAAGTGGTGCCAAGGAATCTCCTCCTCCCCCCAACAATGTATCTGCTCCTTCGTTGAAATCAGCAAAGGCTGTCCTCAAAAAAATAAGTTGGGAAACTTTACCCCATTCATCTTACAGCTGTGATCTTGCCCCTTCAGGCTTCTCTTTTTCTCCAAACTCAAAGAACATTGAAAAGGAACAAAAATTGAGTCCCTCAAGGATGTCACTGTTTTGACTGGCCTTTTTTTCTTTTTAAGGCACTCTTAGAAGACTAAGGCAAGTGTATATCATTGAAAGGACTTGCTCTTGTGGCCATCCACTGAGCACAGAGCAAGTTTAGACATGCTTTATTTGACATAACGACCCCACCCCCTGCATGTTTGAACTGGAACCCTCATAACTGTCCTTTTGACTTATTCTTCTATATCTCTCTTCATTTCCCTTGGTTTTCTCCTTGGATTCCCATTACGCTTTCAGCGTGTATTACTGCATTGATCAAACTTTGATTTTTGCATTTCATTTTATATGGGCTGATTTCCCTCATCAGGTTGTGATTCTCTAGAAGTCTAAATAACTTTTAATCTTGTGTTTTTATCCACCCTCGATTCCTTGTTAGGCCCTCTGTCCTTGTTTGATTGCATGGAACATTTGCCTGAACAATGAGCAGCACTCTCAATCTGCCAGACTCTCCTTTGGTACTTTTATTTGCAGTGTCATTTTTAAGAAAGAATATTGAACTAGATTGTGTCTACTTTTTGCCTGGGTTTTTTGTAACCCGCGTTAGATGAATGATGGTTGAAAGAACAAAAAATATCAAAGCTGAATAAAAAGAGCTTTTGGAGATTTGTGAAGGGGTGACACGTAGCTGCTTTTATATAGTCACGGAATTATCATTAGCAAAAGAGAAGGAACTCACTCGATACTGCTACTAAGAACTAGAATTAATTGGTAGAAGTTAAGTAGAGCAAGTCTCAACTCTGAAAAGGAAACACTTCTTCAACACAGTTTACTAGTAGAACCGTTTGTTCTAGTGACAATGGATTCTTGAGCAACCATGTAAAGACCCAGGACCACTTGAAGCATCCCTTGGTAAATAATGACTCCATTGGTTCTATGAACCAGTTAATATCTCCTTTCTCCAATTAACTAATTTTGCCTAAAGAAATTAACAAATCTGATTCCTTCACCAGTTTGGACAATTATAAATAAATAAATATATATATATCGAAATACCTAATACGTACTATCATTTGTACTTTGGAATTGAATATTAAGAGAAGTATATCTTCATTTTACCTTCTGTTTATTTGCAGACTTGTATGCTGTTTAGTACCTCAAAGCTGAAGAAGCCGAAGTCGATTTTGTATACAGCAGAAGCTAGCCTTTCAGAATATTTCCATATCCCCAAGACAATCTCCATCCCTCAGATTTCAGAAAATCCAGATAAACTTAAAAAACTTAAGCCTTTAAGTAAAAAAGGTAATCAGTAATGTGTAGACTGCAAAATCTAGCAGTGTTTTAAGCTCTGGGAAATTAGCTCACAAGCTGTTCATAATATAATTGAAGTGATGGTTCAGCTACATGAATACTGATTATTGAATAATATTTTGCATTATATGTAATCATCATATCACAATGTAATAATCTAAATGATGTACTGAATTTGAATGCTAAGTGGCTGGACTGAAATTTCTAGACCTGTGTGCATTAAAGAGTAGCATTCTGATAGACAGTAAGGGTACTTTGAGAAAGGTGAGCTGTTGCTTTGGTAGTCTACTTGTTAACTTAGGTTGGCTGTAAAGGATGGGCTGGAGGTGGGTGGCGAGAACACTGATAAGAGGGCAATTTATCATATCTGAGTAATTTATCCTTGATCTAATCTAAAGTCTGTAATAGCTGATATTTTTCCTCTATTATTAGTTTGTTGTTGTCATGATCAAAAATGAATAAGCTAGATTTTGCAGGAATATCGATAAGTTACATGACTAAATATATAGTATAAGATGTATAAGACCTATAAGTACAAGATTGGTAGGAGCCCTAATGGTGTAGTGGTTATGTATTGGGCTGTGATCTGTATGGTCACCAGTTCAAAACTACCAACAGCTCCTCAGGAGACAGACAGGGCTTTCTACTCCCATAAACAGTTAATCTCAGAAATCCAAAGGGGCGGGGGGGTCCCTGTGAGTCAGCATTGACTTGATGGCAGTGAGTATAAGATGTATGCAATGTAATTATCTAATTTTAAATATTCACAATTTATTTTCTATATTCTTTTACTTTATTCCAACTTCTAGATAATAAGAATAAAATGTCTTCACTTAATGCTATACCTAGGATGTATAGGAACCCCAGTGTCGTGGATTCTTAAATTGTCTTTTTGTGAAATTCTGTTTTGTTAGCTTTTGTATTTGTAATTTGCCTATAGATTTATGTTAACTAAGTTGGAAACTGTGGTTACACATTGCAAATTATAGGATAGTCTATTCTCTTGACCTTCCTAGGAGAGCTGGCATTCCAAATTGAAATGCTAAGTGACCAAACTGGGAACAAAGATAAAAGAATTTGGTCTGCTCTAAGGCCTGCTATAGGTGCTCTGGTGGCTGTGTTGGGTGAGCAAGCACTGGACTGCTAACCCCAATAAAGTCACTGGTTCAGACCTATCAGCCACTCCAAGAGAGAAAGTTTAAGTTATTTGCTTCCATAAATATTTATAACTTCAGAAACCCTATACTGAGTCTCACAATGAGTAGGAACTGATGTGATTGCAGTGGATAGAAGGCAGTAGGGGTGCTGGGTCCTGTTGAAAAGTGGAGAGTGGTTGCCTTGCATGCAGGGCATGTCTACATGTTCTTGTCTACAGTGGTACGGATTGCAGTTTCCGTGTTGGTGTGGTGTGAGAGGGTGGAAGAAAGTGGGGCTTGGCCCAAATATCACAGACTTTCACTGTTCTTACCAAGTTTGGGTAGGATATATATATATTTTTTTTTTTTTGCTGCGTGGCCTTAGGACAATTTCAAGAGACTTAATTTTCTATAAACAATAATTTGTACACATTTATCAGAGAATAGATCTTTGGAGCTTATAATAGTGTCATGTTGGACGTGAATCCTTGCTTTTGGTGGAGACCCTTGGTTTTGGGAGATGTCCCTAAAGTTTGTTATCCTTAGGGTATAGGGTTTGAATGGCAAAATATCTGTTACTAATGTTCCTTGGATCATTGTTTCATTTTATCTTGTGCCTAGCACATTGCCTTTCTGGATAACTAGCCAGTTGGGTTTCCTGACAGTGGGCTTTGCTTTGAGAATAATTAATTACTATCCACCCAAATTTTACCCTTCAACAATACTATTTCTATAAAGAGAAAGAACTCTCTGGTGGACAAGTTGAAATGATCTATCAGTTGTTAGTGACTATGTGAACTCATTAGGTGTATATATTTTTCTTTTCTATTCATAACTTTCGGTCACATGTATTGTACATCAATCATTTCTACCCACCTAATTTCTGATTGAAACTAGAAGCATGACCTTCTCACCTTCTTTGATCAAGTTTTTTTCTGACACTGGAAAGCTTTGTCATACCATCACTTATGTTTTTATATTTGGGGTGAAAAACAACAATTGAAACCACAATTTTTATTTTATAAGTCCAATTGATTTTTATTTTATAAATCCAATTGGTATTTTCATGCAGGGAGACTGGAGAGGGATTTTAAGCATTATTCGGTTTAATCCAAGTAAATTTAACGATAGTAAGCTTTAGACACCAAGAAAGTAAATAGCAGTGAGCTTTAGAAATCAGGAAAGTTAGCAGAGAAGGTCATTGTAGAAAATGTCCTGGGTTTGCCTGTGCTTGCTATGGCATTTTATCTTTTTGGTGAGCAGGGTATATAAACACCTTTCCAATTTTTTAAAATAAAATTTGAAAATAGTGTCTGAAACATGGAGTTTTGTTTTGAAGCTTGCCTGTGGCCAATTATAGTACCCATTTGACCGCAGTGACTATTCACCAGTGACCCATCCATTATGCAGACATGTAATTAAAGCATAAGAAAAGCTTCACATAGCTTCCAACCAGAACTATGTCTGTGATTGTTCAGCATGCCTACATCTAACCATATTTCTCTTTTGCCATTAAATATGTATGTTTATTTGTTTTGAATTCTTAAATTGCTTCTGTCTTTATATTTAGTGTTTTAATAGATAACATGACAGATAGTGTAGGGGTAGCCAGCCCCCCACAACTAATCACAGGTTCAGTAGGCGCAATTGTATGGTTAAGATATATAAAGATTATATTAAAGTCATGGAGAATAGGGAAAGATGGGAGAGAGTAAAATAAAGAAGTCAGACACATTTCATGGTAGCATGCTCACCTCAGCTTCTCTTGGTGGGACACGTGGAGGTGGGAGACGAATGGGCAGGAGAAAGCTCTCATGAGGATTTATTTCTAACGAAAGCTTCTTTGGGGCCATGCAAGTCCTCTGATTACAGACAACGACCTACGTCACGGGAAGGGCAATACAAGCAATAGGAGGGGCATGACCTAGCGGTGTACACACAATAGTAAAGGGAGGGAGTAGGGGTACATATGTGGCAAGATGGGTGGACCCTAGACTCAATATAGTAGCCTAACCTTAGTTATCCTTGAGTGGTACCACGCTTGCCTTTGGGCACTTCTTCAGGGGAACAATATCAGAAGGGAGTGGGCCCTACTTAGGGTGAGTCAGACTATACAGTCTTGTTGCTCTAGATACCCTTAAGGAGAATAACCCCTGACGTACTTTTAATGACCTCCTAGTGTACAGGCATTTACCATGTGTAGCAAGCAGCATCTTGGATTTGGCATATATTTAGGGGAGACAACTTGGGAGAAATCTTTCTGTTTCCCACAAGATAGAGTGGTAACAGTATGATGGAAGGGAGTAATCCACTTATCCTTCCTGGGAGAACACTCCTGACTCTCTCTGGGATATGGAGGGTTTCTTGAGGTTCCCCTACCCATGTTGTACATCACAAAGAAGCATAAATGTTATCTAACCTAAAGGAACGGGGGAACTCCTAACGGAGAGAAGAGCGGATGAGGTTGGTTTAATTGGTTAGTGAGAGAACTGACTCTTAAAAATCTTAAAACAAGGAATACTTCTAAAAATTTCTTGGTCTGGCCACTGATATTTTCATTTAGGGAAACTCTCAGCCTCTTTTAATTTCTTCTTTTTTAATTTAAATTTTATATTATTAGGGGCTATTACAGCTCTTATCACAATCCATACATATATCCACTGTGTCAAACACATCTGTAGATATGTTGTCATCATCTTTTTCAAAACATTTTCTTTCTACTTGAGCCCCAGGCATCAGTTTCTCATTTTACCCCGCCCTCCTCCCCCCTTTGCCCCCTTGATAAATTATAAATTTTTTCCATGTCTTACACCGACTGCTTTCTCATTTCACCCACTTTTCTGTTGTCCGTCCCCCTGGGATGGGGGCCATACGTCGATCATTGTGATTGGTACCCCCTACCCTTACCCTCCTAGTATCGCTGCTCCCCCTATTGGTCCTGAGGGGTTTATCTGTTCTGGATTCCCTGTGTTGCGAGCTCTTATTTGTACCAGTATACATGTTCTGGTCTAGTCAGATTTGTAAGATAGAATTGGGGTCATGGTAGCGGGGCCGGGGGACGCATTAGAAAACTAGAGGAAGGTTATGTGCTTCATCAGTGCTATACTGCACCCTGACTGGCTCTTCTCTTCCTTGTGGCCATTTTGACAGCGGGTGTCCAATTGACTACTGATAGGTTTTGGGTCTCCACTCTGGCCCACACCCTCATTACCTCACCTACACATATTATTCTCTGATGTTCCATTAGGGATGAGGTGTGGAGTCATTGTGGTTTTGGTTAGCGTCCCCATAATGGCTAATAATTTTGAGGATCTTTTCAGGTTCCTGATAGTCATTTGAATATCCTCTTTGGTGAAATATTTTCTGCCCATTTTTAATTCAGTTATTTGTTTTATTGCTATTAAGTTGGAGAAGTATTTTTTTTATTTAGGATATTAAGCCCTTATTGGCTATAAACTCAAATCATACTACCTTCAAGTTTATTCCCATTCATAGGGATGTTATTTAGGATTTCTGATGCTGTAAATCTTTACAGGAGTAGAAAGCCTCTCGTTCTGCTATGGAACAGATGGTAGTTCAAATTACTGAAACTTGCACTTTGCAGCCTAATAACTAACTCACTATGCTACCAGGGATCCTACGTTCCTTATAGATTCTTTACTGTTATGAATTTAACAGATATATTTTTCAGTTCCATAAATGGCTCAATTTTCCTTTTACTATTTTATATCTGTGGACAAAGCCTGCTTTAATAGTGAGCTTTAAAAAGTTTTTTATTCATTCTATTAGGTGTTCAACAGTGAACATATGTTCTGTCATATTACATTTGGGAAGGTACTTAATCAGAAATTGTATAAGTCCTTTTACCCTAGTTTAGTCCTGGAGAACATGAATTGGCTTGCTTGCTAATAACTCATTCAAGCTAATTTGTACTCTCAGTAAATCAGTCTACAGGAACTTAAAAATCAGCTCTGCTCAGAACAGATTTTATTTTAAATACAAGACAATTAAAGCAACTTTGTGGTGTGCAGAATTGAAAATGCAAAACAAAAAGTTAATTTCATGTCTATAATTCCTTGCTTCCCTTCCCTATGGAGGAGTTCATTAGAAAGGAAAACCTTCCATTTCTTTCCTTTGGAAACTTTGTCTCCTTAAACAATTTTAGATATGAAAAAGACAACTTCTTACTTAGCATGCTGACAAGTTAGTTCTTGATAAGCCCTCGCAATTTTTCAGTCAATGATCCATGAAGACATAGAGAAACTCAAACAATTCAACAGTGATGGAAATAAAAGTGAGTAGCCAGCCATAAACCCTAGGAGGAATTCCTACTCATTACTGAACTGATGTGACTAGACTGATAGCCAACAACTAGTAGTTCATATTAGCTCATATCTAACAAAATATAATTTAGGGTATTAAAAAAACATTTATATACATGGCTATATAAATTATTTATTTATAAACCATATGTAGCCACAGTGTACATTTAAAAAGTTGACGTATCTATCTAGGCATATTTCTGGGCTCTGTATTCAAATGCAATAAAGTTCCTACCTCTAATTATATTCTATATTAATTACTACAGTTCACTTAGCCAAAATAAATGAATACATAAATCCCACTGCTGTCAAATCTATCCTGACTTATACTGATTCCAATCCAAAAAAAACCAAAAACAAACTCACTGCCATTGAGTCAAGTACAAAGTAAAATCACCACAGGGCTTCCAAACCAGGAGTTTAACAGGGAGGAACCCTGGTGGTATAATGGCTAGGCACTGGGCCTCTAACAGCAAGGTGAGCAGTTTGAAATCACCAACAGCTCCTTGGGAAAAAGACAAAGCTTTCTAATCCCGTGTAAAGAGTTAGAGTCATAGAAACCCACAGAGGCAGTTTTTACCCTGCCCTATAGGATCTGTATGGGTCAGAATTGACTTGATGTCCGTGAGTTTGGTATTGGTTTTGGAGAAAAATTAGTAAAGAATGGAAGCCTTTGTTCTGTTTTTAATCAGAATTGCTTTAGTTGTTCTGGAGTGTTTGTTTTTCTGCAGACATTTATAGTCCATTTGATTTATAAAATTTAAAAAACAACAGCACATCTGGTTGTAATTTTGATTGAGAAATGCTGACTTGTGAAGAGTTTGCATTCTTTCAATATGTGAGTCTTTCTATTCATGACTATGGTAACACTTTTTGTCATTTGGATATGTTTTAGGTCCTTCAAAAGCTTTTCATATTTTGGACATAAATAGAATCATGAATATACTAAATATATTACTAGGTGCTTATAGAATAGAAGAAAGTTTGATATAAAGTATACGCTACCATTTAATTACATTCTAATTGTGCTAACATATAGAAAAGTTGAGAATGTTCACATATAATAGTATTTCCGCCATGCTACTAAATAAAGGATCTTGTCAAGTCTAATCAATCAAAGCTATAATGAAGATAGTCTGTGATTTGGTCTTCAAACAATGTGTTTTTACTTCCTTTCTAATTCTTATGCCTTTTAATATTTATTTTACTGTATTACCTGAGACATTTCATACATTTTTAGTAGGATCAGTAAAAAAATCAGAAAATTATGAACTTCAGCGAAAACAAGGTGTTATTTAAAAAGAAAGTACCAGCATAGATAACAAAAGAGCAGTAAATGATCTAACCAGTTGAGACAAGTGTTAATTCGACCCACCTCACTTGGCTACTTGTATTTATTAACCCTGAATAACATTATTCTTTCTGGTGGCAAACTACAAATTATTTTGACTCTTAGGGAGAGAGCCCATCCTTAATTCCTATGAAAATCGAGATTGTAATGGTTACCAAGTATTCCATGCCATCTCATTTCTCAGCTCCTTTGTAACCAGGTAGAAAGTTAAGTGGCTGTTTCTGGTCAATTATATGTAATGTGTTTCACTTCTGAGCCAAGCAATGAAAAGCCTTTGAGCAATCTTCCAGCCACTTCTCTTTCTCTGCCCTCTCAACCAAAACATGGTTTTGATGATGCAGCTTCAAGATAGTGGCATCTTGTACAGTCTGGGGTCCCAAGTGATTTTTAAAAAATTTTTTAGAAAAGGTCATCGTTTTACCAATGCTAGCCAAATATTGTGATTGAGAAATAAACGTGTCTATCAACCCCTGGAAAATTGGGGAGGTGTCTTACATAGTAGAAAGTAGTCTATTATAACTAGTACAGAAATATTAATACTACCTTACCAAAACTAATTATAGAGTTTATGTTGTTAAAAAACAAACCTTTTTCTTTTTGCTGTATTTTTTTGTTAGGTGCTTATGGGTATGTTTCAGTTCCGTTCCAATTTGCTCCAGTTACTCCTGGACGCTTTCCTTGTAAAATTTCGTTGACATCAAGGCAGGATATTCGTGTCTATTATGTTGAAGGTATAGTGAACGATAGCAAAGCAGAAGCCAAATTTGAGTTTGATACACCAGCATTTGAACCCATTACTCAGAAAATTCCGGTGGTAAGTGCACATTGCTTATTCGTGGTGCATTCTCTTCATCCCCATTAGTACTGTCTGAATTAAAGTGCTATAAATCCTTCATCTTGAACTATTACAGATTTCTAATTGTGTTATCTGCTGCCAATTGATTCTCTAATTTGATGGTAGAGTTTGATTCCTGATTATAAATCATGTTAATCTACTCACCTGATTGATTACTTCAGTTAGATTTCTTGGCCCAAAACATTAACGCTAACCTTACACCCACCAGCATTCTCCTACTCAAGAGGCATACCCTTCTGGGTCCACCAAGCAGAGTTATGGGTTCTCAGATCATTCGACTCCGAAATCTCTTCTGATCTTTTCCCTTGTTTAAGATGGGATCATAGGCAATGAGAACAATGCTTGGCTGTGGCTTGGCTACTTGCTAGTCAAAAATGACAACATAGCATGGGAAAACCCAACATCATTCGAAGAAACTTAGGATTCTTTAGGGTGTAAAACTATTTGTTCTTACTTTGTTGTCATTTGAATTAAGGCCATGACAAAGTTAACCAACAGCATAGAAAGTTGTTCTGACCAGATATGGTATCTTGGCTATTTGAATTGTGTATCCAGGCAGAACACCTTACATGACCTCTGATTAGGAATAGAATGATCACTTGAAGACCTTTTTTTTTTTTCATTTTAGCGGTAAGCCGTTGGACAATGATCCTATGCCATTGATAGGGTAGACCGTCATCCTTTTGCTTTATGTTCAAGTTATTGATAGTCCTCCTCAGCAAATTAAATGGCGATTCTCAAGAAGTATACTAGAAATCGGTAATCATATTAAATGTAGCAAGAATTAATATGTCATTCACCTTCTATAAGATGATTTTCTATTATCTCTTCTCACACTTTAGAGCAATAATACAAGCAAAGAATGGAAATGTATGGTTACCATAGAAGGAGAAGGGTTTCAAGGACATCCTGTTGTTCATGTCCCACCAGAGGAAACTATTCAGTATATTCTCACATTCAGTCCTATTGTGGAAGGTGAAGTTAAGGTATGAGCACAGCGATACCGTTAGCATGTTAGTAGACCAGTGTATGACATTAGCTTGTGGTTATTTGGTGATAATTTTTTGCAGTTAAATTTTCCATGAATTTAATAATTAGTGTTTATTCTGTACTTGAAATTGAATGTGTTAACTTCAGGGATAAAAATTCTGGATGTCATAATGCCATTGGCTGCCAATAACTATATCCAGCTTATTTTGTACACAACATGTGGAAAAATAATACAATCATTGCTCTTTTTGTTCTAGTTATTTAAGAACTTGATATCAGAAAATGTTTTCTTGAAAGATATATTTGTTTGCCATAAAAGCAAACAAACAATTGTGATGTATGTGAATTTCCATATTCATTCCTTTAGAGACATTAAAGAGAAAAAGTATAATTTCACCACAATTTATTGATTTAATAAAAGCATTTATACATGAACTGGAAAAGTCAATGGCTTACACTTTCTTGCAAGCTCGTTTTATTAACCAGATTCAAGAGTAATAGTATAGGAGAGATTTTGGGGCATCCAATTACAGACTTCCAAGAGCTGAAATCTGTCTACTTTATCACAGGGAAAGCTTATCCTTCAAAATGAGATCGATGGTATGAAGCATGTCTTTGAACTAAGAGGGATTGGACGGAAACCTCGGGCTGTAGAGAAAGTCATTGTAGAATGCCAAGTAGGGGAAATAGTTAATAAAACTATAATGGTGACCAACTACACAAGAAATCCTATATCATATAAGGTATGTTTTGTTTTGTTTTCCTTTAGTATCAAAGGGGTTTCAGGAGTATGTTGAATTATTTTTTTTTGAGTATGTTGAATTATATGAAATTCTATATACTTGTAAATTTTCTTACCTACGGGTAACAGTATCACTGGTTACTAGAAATACTAGAGCCAAACACTCTGTTAGAAAGCAATGCAATTTTTAAAAATTTGCATTGAAGGAATAGTTGAATTTCATAAAGTGAAACACGACAGCACCCTGAAAGAAAAGGCGAGGTGGTTCCACCATGTAGGAGAAAGAGCCAGTGTTTATTTGGTAAAAGAGAACAAGGAAACTGGTTTCACTTGAGAGAGAAGTACAGGGCAAAGGAGAAGATTTTACAAAGAGATGACAAATTGCATACTTTCTTAACAATTTTTACCTATATATTAATTTCCTTAACACCTGATCTGACATTTCTAAAGTCCTCTGTGAACATTTTGATATGAGGGGCTTGTGATTGAACGTCAACCAAGTCCGTTGTAACTGAAAGTTCTTGAAATGTAAGGTGATTCATTTGATTAACTTACTACCATCAAACTGTTGCCAGCTCTTAGTGACCCTATGGTTAAAGAACAACTCTTATCCAACCTTCTGAAATGAAATGTAAACTTGCTTACCTGGCCAAGTGAAACTGAGGATTTCTCACATGAATTGACTTGGTGTAATTCAAGAAGCAGTTAAGATACTGAGTGTAACAAATGCTAAACAATTCTTTACCTAGGTAACAGATTTTGAATCTTGTCTTCTCTGTTGTTGTCCCAGTAACACCTTGACAAGGAAAACGCTTTCCTGAATTTCTTTAGAAAGTTAGAAATGAAAATCTGAATTTAAATTGGAGTTTTTATTTAGGTCTAAAATCACTTTTTTTAAAATCATTTTATTAGGGGCTCATACAACTCTTATCACAATCCATACACACATCAATTATGTAAAGCGCATTTATACATTCATTGCCCTCATAATTCTCAAAACATTTCCTCTCCACTTAAATCCCTGGCATTAGGTCCTCATTTTCCCCTCCCTCCCCGCTCCCGCTTCCCTCATGAGCCCTTGATAGTTTATAAATTGTTATTTTGTCATATCTTGCCCTGTCCGATGTCTCTCTTCACCCACTTTTCTGTTGTCCGTCCCCCAGGGAGGAGGTCACATATAGTTCCTTGTAATCGGTTCCCTCTTTCCTACCCACTCTCCCTTTACTCTCCCTGTTTCGTCACTCACACCACTGGACCTGTAGGGCTCATCCGCCCTGGATTCCCTGGATTTTCAGTTCCTATCTGTACTAGTGCTTATCCTCTGGTCTAGCCAGACTTGCAAGGTTGAATTCTAAAATCACTTTCTTCAGCTATTCTAGCACCTTGAATTTTCTAAGGTTCACCATCACATCACGTAAAGTCATGTCTACAATTCTGTTTACTAATCCAACAGCTATTATCCTTCATTTTAATTATAAATTTACTTAATACCAAGCGAGTTCTATATCGAAGTATTAGTATAAAAATCATAAAGCACTTTAAGTTTCACGTATTTGTATCATGTAATTTTCATATCTACTATTATTGATGTTAAGTGCCATCTAGTTGTCTCTGACTCATAGCAACCCTGAATAACAATAGTGAAATACTACTAGGGCCCTGTCCCATCCTTCTCTTCATCGCTGCTATGAGCCCATAGTTGCAACCACTATGTTAGTCCATCTAGTTGAAGGTCTTCCTCTTTTATATTGATTTTATACCCTTCCGCAGGGATTGGTCCCTTTTGATAACATGTTCAAATCCAGGAGACAGCTCATCTTCACTTTGAAAGAGCATTCTGGCTGTATTCTTTCCAAGCTAGATTGGTTTGCATTCTGGCAACTATCTTATATTTAATATTATTCAGCAACATCATAATTTCAATTCAGTTCTTCTTCTGCCTTCTTTATTCATTGTCCAACTTTTGAATGTACAATATATGAGGTGATTTAAACAATAAAATGTCAAGAGCCAGTAGTATCATTCACTAATGTGAGTAATACTGGAAAGTGTTAAGATTTATACTTAAAAGCATCTTTATGAATTTTTTTGCTTGGCACTTCTTTCCCTTTGTGTTAGTCCAGTTGATTAGAGAAACAAATCCAGAGACACTCATGTGTGTAAGAGAGAACTTTATATCAAAGAGCAATTCTACATTGAGAAAACATCCCAGCACAGTCCAGATCAAGTCCAGTGATACCCCATATGTCAATACTAGTCCAGAAATTCCTCTTTTGACTCACAAAGCCATGCAATGATGCAGACGGCAGGAAGATCACAAGTCAGTGGGTGGAAAGTCTTGTGGATACAGTGGTGGTGGAATCATCTCCGCACTGGCATAGGTCTCTATGTGGCTTCCCCAGTTCCAGGGCTCTGGTTGCATCAATGTAGCTCCATGTGGCTTTTAAGCAGGAAGATGAAGCAGCGTGTATCTCCCGCCTCCAGGGAGGTATACAGGAGTTCACAGAATCCTCAGGAGAAAGCCATGCCCACACAGAGACCTCATTGGCAATGACCTGATTGACAGGCTAGACTCCATCCCTTCACAAGTTGACAGATTATGTAACTACCACACTCTTTAAGTCAATCCTTGTTTTTTAAAAATTGTCATCACACTTCCTGCCTCCATCTTAATCTGAAATATTTGTGTGTGCAATGGATTACTTTAACAAAGCTTAATATCTGCCCATCATAGGTGCTTGAATACAATTTTTAGGGAGAATCAAAGCTATTTGGAAGGTTGCTGGACTTTCCCTCTTTAAAAATTTCTTTTTGGAGAAATATGAGCTAAAATATTATTTTCTTTCTAGAAGAAAAATAGAGTGCATATTCTTAAGACCACTTTCACTTCAAAGACATTTCTTTGCCTTTTGAATCAAATCCACACCCTCAAAAGTTGTTTACAGTGTCTTTCAATAACTTGCTCTGGCTTAATTCTTCAGTTTCACCTCTTGCCACCCCTGAGCCCAGGAACATTTAAGTTTTGTATAAAGTATTAGATTTCCTTTTCCGTTCGGCTGGACTTCTCTGAAATAAGTTTTGGCGTCTATCTCTCTGCATCTTTCTAACTCTTATTTATCTTCGAAGGCAAGAGTTAGAGGCCACTTTTTCTAAGACTACACCTCTATTGCCATAAACCTGGAGAAAACATCTTCTTGTGCTTTTTCATAGCTAGCATAACTCATGGTGTTTAATACATAGTAGTTTTTCAAGGAAAAGTTTTTGAATGAAAAGATAAAAAACATAATATGTGACATGTTAAAAGACTGAAAGAGGGAAATGAAATGGCTGCTTGAATGTGCCATAAATGAGGAGAAAATAAAACTTTACCGCCCCCTTGCATACCGT